TATGGTCTTGTATTGCTAGCAACTTTGATAAGGGGTGGAGGGGGGATCACAAGCACAAAATCATGGGCAGGCCATTTATGCCAAAATACGGTACAGTGTCTCAAGTACTTTTGCAACTGGTTGTAGCAACAAATCTACTTGTTAAAATTGGTACCGGTTCATTTTCCGAACGGAAAAAGGGCCATTTATTTCGAAGGCGACACCGCGATGTATGAAGTTGTGAAACACGAATGCAACCTCCTGTGATTTGCAGATCAAGTGTGCGTTGTACTTTGGCGGTAAGAGCGTAGAGGAACGTATAGCGGCTTGTAACCCAGAGCTAATCATCTTATATTCCTAGCAAATCGATGCACATCGTTTCAGCAATTGCAATGGATGCAAAATTCGTGCAGATTCACACCAAATTTTGTGGATATTGAATAAGGCGTGCAGTTTGAATGAAAAAAAAAAAATGTTTTTTTAAAATGGCACGTTCATATATTTTTATCAGGTTTTTTAAAAAAATGTTTATGTAAGCTAAATCTGGATGAAATTTAAAATAAGTTAAATTACCTGGTATTTTCTAAACTGCCGTACGCTTGAACAAGTTCATTGTGGGCATTGACTAAAAAGAACATCAGTCCCTTGCAACAAACGCCTGGCCCTTCACTGGTTGGAATTAGTAATGACACGCTAGAACTTCTCTCCATTGTCTTCTCACACTGCTCTTTAGTTGGGGCGAAACGGCCTGAAGCAAACGAAGTAAGGTTTTTTTTTATCATGGAGCACATTTCGCAAGAAGGTTCAATTTAAGAAAAAAGGAAAGAAAAACCATCTACGGATTAAAAAAGAATTAACTCGACAAACAACCACCGCAAAAAAGCTTTCGGATTGCAAGATTTGCAACGTCCGAAGCGTTACTTTCACGACGTCACGCGTATGCTTAAAACTCGGATTATTCATACCTTGAGAACTTAACTGGTGACGTACAAGTTCCCATGCAGACTGGAAACTTTGAAACAGCTTGCGTACGCTATCCTTTTCTATGAAAAAGAAGCAAATAAGAAGTAAACGAAGTAAACGGTGACAAAAGCAATTGCTCCAGTTGTACATAATTTTCATTAAATCAGAAAGCGGTCCCAAATCACTCAGTTCAAAATATATAAAAGCTGAAATCCAATAACGCGGAATATTTTAATTGGTTCATTAGAAAAAAAAATCATTTTTTGTGGCTCGGGGCGGTTGTGTGCTGTCTTTGATTTTACTTTGCAAGGTCGGTACTGTCTATTTCAAAATACGCGTAGCGAAGAAGAAAGGCAGCACATGCAAAGTGAATTTTTTGAATAAGAATATATAGTCATACCTTTCAAGCACTTAGTCAACAAGGTGTAGTTTTGAGCAAACGGACCTTTAACCTGGAATTAGTGCTAATTAAGCTTCATTAAATTACCTTTATGGAGCCCTTTTAGGAAATCCCTTACTGTTAATGGATCGGCTCTTTCTCTTTCAATTCGTCGATGGAAACGATCATTCAATTTTCTCTGCAAAGCCACTATGTCCGGCAAAAATTGTAATGCACGGAGTTTGTGTTCCTGCAAAATCGAATAAAAAATACATGATACTAAGTAAGGCAATGCTGATACTATATTATTAGCGGATATGTTTTTTGTTATTTTTATTCGCTCTCGGTCAAATTAGGCTAGATTATCAGGCGCTGTTCGGGAAATGAACCCGAGCTCCCCCAGGACGAAATAACGAGTAATTGTAGCCTCGAGGGAGTGGCGGAACGCGAGCCTACAGTCTATTTACCTCATCAAGGAACCTTCCAAGTATCTTATGGGTGGTCTTGTTTGATTCTACGTCTTGGAAATTCCGAATGACGAGTTCGACTGTTACGCGTGTCCTGTATCTCCAGAAGACCGCATGTCCAGGGTAGATATCTGCCACTGTCCGAGGAAGAGAAGGTTCATCAACCTCATAAACCTCTCGGATGAGTGGATCATTTCCTACGGTTTGACAATATTAAGTACATTAAATAAATATCAAATAGAAAGAAACTCCGTTCCTGCTTAAGAGCCGGTCTTTACGACAAGTCCAGCGCCCAAATCGTTCCACCACGCTACCTTCTGCAAAATAGGGAGACAGTCATTTGGATGTGTTTTGCGCAATGTTGCAATGAAAAAAAAAAACAACAAAAACGACAACAACAAACAAATACAAACAGATACCAGGTGGGAACTGTACCAATGGAACCACTTGCTAGGTGCATAAAGCTAGGGTAAGCAATTTCAAGAACATTCCGTGAATGAATGAATGAATGAATGAATGAATGAATGAATGAATGAATGAATGAATGAATGAATGAATGAATGAATGAATGAATGAATGAATGAATGAATGAATGAATGAATGAATGAATGAATGAATGAATGNTCCAGGGTAGATATCTGCCACTGTCCGAGGAAGAGAAGGTTCATCAACCTCATAAACCTCTCGGATGAGTGGATCATTTCCTACGGTTTGACAATATTAAGTACATTAAATAAATATCAAATAGAAAGAAACTCCGTTCCTGCTTAAGAGCCGGTCTTTACGACAAGTCCAGCGCCCAAATCGTTCCACCACGCTACCTTCTGCAAAATAGGGAGACAGTCATTTGGATGTGTTTTGCGCAATGTTGCAATGAAAAAAAAAAAACAACAAAAACGACAACAACAAACAAATACAAACAGATACCAGGTGGGAACTGTACCAATGGAACCACTTGCTAGGTGCATAAAGCTAGGGTAAGCAATTTCAAGAACATTCCATGAATGAATGAATGAATGAATGAATGAATGAATGAATGAATGAATGAATGAATGAATGAATGAATGAATGAATGAATGAATGAATGAATGAATGAATGAATGAATGAATGAATGAATGAATGAATGAATCTATTTCTGCACGATGATAACCTACTAGCCTAATCGTAACGAACAATTTACACATGGAGCCTTGTAAAGGTTTGGAACAATATAAACCTTAAACACCTATTTTTTTTCAGAAAACGGAACGGTTTTACATAAGCAAAATGTTTCGGATTTTTATGACGTTTCATTTGTGATACCATTTAGCACAGGATAGTGAGCCCAAATATGTCAAAAGAACAAAATTCACTGAAACGTAAACGTTTCGAGAGTCTTCATATTCACCATTCAGTCTCATTGTCCATATACACTTTGTTTACCCCACTGGCCAAATTTTGTAGATACATCGCTTCCAATTTTTTTTGCCCCAAGGGAAACTGAAGCAGGGTGCAAAGAAAAGCATTTACTAGCCCAGACGTCATTTCAACTAGCCTCAAAAGCTTTTTGACTTGCGGAATTAATTTCACAGTTCTTCTGTTATTCGAATTCCTCAAAAAACATCACTTGTCCGTTGGGCAAGTTAAAGACAAGAATTCACTAGCGCGATAGCAAAATCCACTAGCCCCGGGCTATCGGACACTACTTTCTTTGCACGCTGCTGAGGACAATGCTTAGAGAGAAAAGAAGGAATTAAAAAGCCGAGGAAAGCCGGGATAGCCTCATGGATGTTCGCTTCGAATGTAGGAACTGTTTTAAGTGACCTTGATGTCAATTGAATCATTGCAGGGATAGCCAAAAGTGTTACTTTTAGCAAATTGTCCAATACGAGCTGAGAAAAATTGAACAAGTTTACCTAACTTTCCAACCTACACTCTTTTATTGCCTACGCCTTCTTTTTCTTTTTCTTTTTTTTTTTAAGAATAACGTAAACGGTGTATGTCATGGCATTTATAGGACAGTTGTTAAATTATTAAGGAAACAGGAATATTTTATACTAGGCTCATTATTGGAAATAATCTTTGGGTTTGTTCATATTTAGTGTGGTGACCGCCTCAAAGCAATATGTTATTAGTACCCAGTCTTCTGTCGTTTACAGACTTCGCGTAGAATCCCCGTAAGCCTTCTCCCAGATCCTGTTGAAATAGAATGCCCATAATTACCAAAATAATCATTAGTGACTAGCAGCAATGTAACATTTAAGGTTGTCCTTCCTTGGCTCGACACTTTGACTTTGTCACGGTAAGCAACCGTAAAAACAAATTGATAGTCTCTGAAAGACTCTTAAAGGGACTGTGACACGCTTCTGCGCATGTGCGGCAACTTGATTTCTTTCCGGCGAACAGTTTTTCAAGATTGGCGTTTTGGTGAAAAAATCCTCTTCCATCGACCCTGAGACGCCCGAGAAAGCCATAATATCAGTATTCAAGAGCTATTTGGTCCATTTGGGAAGTTTTAAACGCTTTATTTTGTATTTTTGTGCAAGTATTGTCGAGAAAATTCGAAGTCATTGAGGATAACCGTACGAAACCATGTTCGTTGTTGTCAGTGTTCATACAAACAGATCAAATGTGGCCTTTGATGTGGTCATCTGGCTTTCATTTCTGTCTATTAATGTTCTCCACTCAACGATCTACCTTTGACGGATATTTTTTAAACGATAAATATGTAAAGGGAGTTAAAAAGGGTTTCCTCGATACAGCCGTGGACCGCTAATGGAAGGCAGCGGCGAGTGAAGCTGATCTGCGACATGACTGCAACAATTTAATTTATCGAGTGCCTGGAATCAGAAGGAGAAAACCAAGCAATCTTTTGTTGTACAGGAAGTCGTGTGAGGTTTGAGGAAACAATCCATCGAACATGAAACGTTTTAACAGGCATTTGATTTATGACTCCGATCCGTAGAACGTATAGCAGAAAGTACTAACAACAGGCCGCGTGACCTTTACTGATGTAGTTCACTGGGAATGTTCCTTGTATCTTGTCTGTATGAGCGTAGACGTTTAAGAATTGATCTTTTAAAAATAAATTGTTGCCTGAATGTTCCGTTTAACATCCGGTTTCTTTATGTGTTGAATCGATACTGTTTGTTTCGCGGAACACCCGACGCAACGACTCGGAAGGAATTTTTTTATTTGCTGATAAGCAATTGAAATTTATGCCATAGTGATGGGCTCCTGTTTATGCCTTTTCTCGCGTTGTTCTTTTAAAATAATCTTTGTACTTATACGTTATGTGGCTACTATTGCAATGAAAGCGTTTTACGATGAAGCGCTAAGAATTGCTTTCAAACACTGCTACGATTTTCAGCTGGTATCAATCGACTGAGCAGCAGTTGGCAGAGTGTTCATCGCGCTAGCCGACCGCATGGCATGGCATATTTTATTTTAGCGCGCATTTAGCTGGCATTTTAAGCAAATCGTTTGCCTCATCCTATACTGTGTGTTTTGATCACCGGTCAGGAGCTATTTGCAGGTATTTCTAAGTTTATATAAGGTAAACAGAGGGATCAGTAAGGTTTGTTTACAAATTATTTTTGTTTGCGGATCGGAGACTGGTTCTCTAGCGTGGGTCACAAAAATACACGTAGGTAAATGTTTGTTTCAAAGCAGGACAGGGTTGTTAATCTTATTCTTATCAGCTGCAACATTTATCTGAGGAATACCAGAGAACAAATATCAATTATGGGGATATATAAAATCGAACAAAAGCGTCCGGAAGACTCCCGCTTCGCGAACAATGAATCTTGAATTATGTAAATTTCCTCGCGTGCATCTTACTCGCTTCCGATTGGTTCAAAGACAATCTGCTACTGTCACAGCTCACACATGAGCACTATCGTGACACAGTCCCTTTAAGAAGGCAAACAGAGAGCCCCGAGACTATGATGAAATAGGCAACCTTTTAAAAGCGAAAATGCTTTTGGATTTACGTTTTTAAGGGTTTGCAGGTTTCCTTATAAATTAAATCATGTGCATATTTTTTACGTGCGACAGTTTGGGCTCATTGCGTTTTACGGAACGAACAGTTTATTCGTGAAAATGATTTCAGTGATAGAATTATCCTAAGCCTTTTTGGGGGGGGGGGGGGGGGGGGTATTAGAAAAAATAAAGTTCTCCATACATTACCTCTTAAACCTTAGCTTATGAAGTCTCCTACTTCTTTTGGTATGCAAGGAAAAGGTCATTTTCATTGACCAAAAAACGAATACTAGGCGAACTAAAGTGATTATAATATATATTAGATAAATAAGAGAGACGCTTTTACCATCAAGATATTTCCCACAAAGGCAGTCACAAAATCATTTTCCCATTTCTTTCTTTCTTCTTTTGTGGACCAAAATGACATCTTTTCAAACCCAAGGAGGTCACTGTTCGGCAGATCCGAGAAATCCGGCAGATCCACTGATCCTAATAGAAAAAAATAAATTATTATGAAAAAGTTATTGTTCTCCCAATTCCTTTTTTTGTACTTTATTAGATTTAGGAAGTTCTTGTCTTGTTGTCTTGGGAGGAAATCTTTCTCCTCCCTATCATCACCACACCAACCGGATTTCTTCAGGTCTATCCGGCAAATTATGATCGATCGAAATAAATAGATAAATAAATAAATAAATTCATAAATAAAATAAATATTTGAGAAAACACCTACAAAGGGCGATTATTCTCGATCTACCATTATTCCTGACTGAAATGGAATTTGAAAAAAACCCAATATTCTTATTCGAGCTCGGGATAACTTTAATCGACATTTACTTATTTATTTATTTAGCTTCGCCTAACTAGAATACGATCTTTATACATGAATACATAAAAAGTATTAGGCAGGGAGACCACTACATCCTGACCAATTACAGTGGATCCCTCGTTAATTAAAAAACAAAACAAAACAAAAGAAAAAAAGAATAACTAAAGCTACTGATATATAAACAAGAAAATCAAAAGGAAGCAAAACAGAAGTTCAAATTGCTAGAAGCAGCACATCGGCGGGCACAGAAGAGTCCTCGCTATGTTGCACCTGGGACAGATTGTTGTCCAGGTTCTGATGTCGTCAACGTCGTACAGGTCCAGCGCCTTATTGTAATATTGAAGTAGTGAAGGGTTAAATGCGGCTAGAGAGATGTGACTTGTGCGCAACTCAGCGGGCAGAACATTCCATGTGCGGCACGCGCGTATGAAAAATGAGCGTTGATAAGTTACAGTTCTACTTCGCTTAGGGATATAAGTGATAGCATTGCTGCTCGATGACCTGGTAGATCTCGTTGATTGTCTAGTTGCAGGCAGAGCTTCACTATCTATGAAAACTAAGTTATTAACAGCTTTATAGAAAAAGACTATATCCAAAAATTCATGCCAGTATGAGATAGGTAACAGATTCGTTAGTTGGAGGCGGGTCTTACAGGATACATCGCAATGGAAGGGAAGCTTCAAAATTAGTTTTGTTGCACGGCGCTGCACGTTTTCANCCTCGTTAATTAAAAAACAAAACAAAACAAAAGAAAAAAAGAATAACTAAAGCTACTGATATATAAACAAGAAAATCAAAAGGAAGCAAAACAGAAGTTCAAATTGCTAGAAGCAGCACATCGGCGGGCACAGAAGAGTCCTCGCTATGTTGCACCTGGGACAGATTGTTGTCCAGGTTCTGATGTCGTCAACGTCGTACAGGTCCAGCGCCTTATTGTAATATTGAAGTAGTGAAGGGTTAAATGCGGCTAGAGAGATGTGACTTGTGCGCAACTCAGCGGGCAGAACATTCCATGTGCGGCACGCGCGTATGAAAAATGAGCGTTGATAAGTTACAGTTCTACTTCGCTTAGGGATATAAGTGATAGCATTGCTGCTCGATGACCTGGTAGATCTCGTTGATTGTCTAGTTGCAGGCAGAGCTTCACTATCTATGAAAACTAAGTTATTAACAGCTTTATAGAAAAAGACTATATCCAAAAATTCATGCCAGTATGAGATAGGTAACAGATTCGTTAGTTGGAGGCGGGTCTTACAGGATACATCGCAATGGAAGGGAAGCTTCAAAATTAGTTTTGTTGCACGGCGCTGCACGTTTTCAACTCGTTTTAGTAAGCCAATGGACTGTGGCGACCATACTTGGGTTGCATAGCCGAGATGTCACTGGACGATAGAAAGATAAAGTGTACGACGCGTTTGGGTGCTTTGGATGTACCTAGAAGCTCGGCGCACAAAGCCAAGGAGTTTGTTGGCTTTCGCACACTGTTCAGTCACTTGTTTCTCCGAGGTAAGATTGCTTGACCCCCACACATCAAGCAGTTTCTCTGTATCGCAAGATTCCAAAGGCGTTTCGTTACTTATAGCAGGGCCAAAAATATAGATCTGTAATATTAGTGATAAAGTTTTCTAAGTAGGTTGACTCTCATTGGCTCACGCTACACGAGCTCTGCTCCGCAAAGAAAGCCGCCTAGCTCATCAAATTGTAATGGAGGTGCCAGTTAGGACAAAGACCACAGCTTTTGTTCATTGTGTTGTTTCCTAATATCTTGCATTCAATTACTTTTGCGGATCTAGAACACTTTTTATACCTTACTAATATTCATTAGACTTCGCGCATAGTATATAAGCATGTGTTAATTATTCACAGTTGTCATTTTGACTAACTTAAGTTGGAGTCGCCTCACCGTTTCGGGTGCGCGTGCGTCCCAACGAGGTCAAATGCTAGAGCCATGGTCCAAGAAATGTTTCTTCATCTTCTTCAAGGCTCGACTCGTGCCACTTATTTGGTCGACTTTAACTTCGTCCACATCGCAAGCTGTTTTGCAAGCTTAGCGGCAGCCGAAGATGATAGACTGCGAACTGCGAAAATTCCACCACGCCTGATGTATTCAACTCGACAGAACACTCAGGTATTTTCAGCTTTCGTTGTTGAATTTGCATTGGTCTAAGGAGCCTTATGTTTGGTCTTTTTGCTGGTTGTTTTTAATTCTCGTTTAGTTTGTTTGGACCAGTGCTGGGAAACCAGTTTTTTTTTTATTTTCGTGCTTTAAGCACGTGCTGGGTAATTTATTCGCTGTTATTCTCGCACGTCTTTCTTTTTTTCTGCAATCTTGCGTCTTGCACTATTTTGTCATTGTAGTTGTGCTTATTTTCTTGGATGTTTGGTAAATCAGTTATTTTATATTTTTGAACACTTGTTCATTTTGGTTGAGGACCGGCTACTTAAAATCTTAAGCTTTTGTGTCTTTGTGTCGCCAGGTGACGTGGCTTTCCTTTTGAAAAGAGGAACCTAGTTTGAGCGACGAGTTTGGAAGCATTGCCCAGTGTGCCACGTGGTGCCGCGATATTCTCTACCGAGGACTCTTTGCCTATCATATGGTGGTTATAAGAGAGAAAAGACGAGATAACGTTTTGGTCGAGGGCTAAAAGAGAGGCGTTGCTGTGCTACGCAGTGGTATTAGGGAAAAATAAATAACATCGGTCGCGGTCCGAGGGAGCGGTGTCGCTGTGTGGCACGGGGTGCCCCCTTCCCGCTCTTTTACTTGCGCCATTTTTTTCGCGCGGGTTTGTCTAACGTTCCTCGTTCTTTGCTCCTAAACTGCACGGAAACGCTTGCTACGCGGGCTATGGCGGACCGAGAGAACAGTGTCGCTCTGTGCCACGGGGTGGTGTTAAAAAAAAGGGATCGGTCGAGGACCGAGAGAGCGGTGTCGCTGCCACGGGGTGACGTTAAAAAAGATAAAGGGAAAAAAATGATCGGTTGTGGACCGAGAGAGAGGTGTAGCGCTATCCCTCGATTCGGTATAAATAATGCATTACAAGGTAGAAAAGAACGCAACTCGAAAGGGGTTTGGGAGAGAGCTGAGTCTAGAGGTCTTTGCTGTTTCAATTAATAAAACGAGGACCGTTCTTGGGACGGACGCCCACAGCTCCGTGCTCCATACCGTTGAACTGTGCTTTAAAGCAGGCCATATTTAGCATACTTGCCCAGAAGAACGGGCGGAGGAGGCCTGGTTATTGTGATTGCTATATATACTTGATCGTTTCGTTGGGTTTATCGACAAATTTAGGCATATAGGCACTATTTTAATTTTTTTTTCTGGTGTTTCTGTGGTTTCCAGGTTGGAGAAGTGATCCCACAAGCGTTTTGCGTATAGGCATGCCATAGAGCCCGATTACTTGGGCTACGGTGGTCATTTTTTCCGAGCTCGGGTCTGCAGTCTCTTTACGATTTGTCATCTTTTGATCGTCTTCTTCTCGGTAACTCTCGGAGAAGAATCGCCGATATTTGTGCCTTTAACGTTACGGAGAGTAAGCAGATACAAACATGTTTAATAGGGAGCTTACGAATCGACGACTTTTCCACGACGCCGCCGCTGGGTCACGTCATAGTTCTGCGTTGCCGTTCTGTAGAAATTGGAATTTACGATTCGTAGTAAAGGCGACGACGTTGGTGCGCGCGGCAGGCAAATTTTCCCGCCGTTTCTGAAGTTTGTTTTTTTCTTTTCACAAGTAAGCTTATTTGTTCAACCAATGCAAAATGTCTAAATTCATAAAAGAAACGAGAGCTCGTATTGCAGACGCTTATGGAAACAGATTTATAAAGGACCGAGTATTTCACTGTATTTGTACTTTTATGCGTTTCGTCAACAAACTCACAGTTAACTACGGATTTAGACAAGACAACAAAGGACGAATGCAAGGCGCGTTTATATACAGGGAGGGCATTTATAAACTTTCTGAACAGCTGTAGTTACTGTGATGAGATAACCACTTGTAATGGTCTAGTTGTGGCTTTGCTGCCATCTTGCCAATATGGTTTCAGTCAATGTTAATTTATGTTTGTCTACAGCTATAGCTATGGTGTTGATTCTTCGGGTCGTTACTCCAATGAAAACAGACAAACAAATCAAAACATATGTAAAGAACATGCCCCTTATGTGATACTTGAATTATCTGGAAAAATCCGCTGAAGTATGTAGGGAAAACTTTGAAAATTAGTCTCACGTCCTGCTTTTTCTAGGACGCCGGCGAATCGCTGTCAACAACGGCGTCGACTTTGGCGCGACGCCGGGAAGTGCCCAGATAAGCATGCGCAGTAATCCTGTCACGCAGTCCAACGGCGTCGTCGTGCGAAAGTCGTCAATTCGTAAGCTCCCTAATATCTCTGGATGTAAACCCGAGTTCGGGGAAAATGGCCACAAGTGAAAGGATAACATCTATAGGGCTTATATCGGCCCATATTATCGAGAGATAAACCCTGTCGGGCCCGTTTACTTATACCTGGGCATAAGGAATAGGGGCGTAGAAGCACTGAGTGGGGTCTTCGATAGTCACCTTTTAAGTAACGGTGTTCACAGCCTGTCACTGGTGCATGACTTAACGATTCATTGAGTTGGGAGCAATACGGGCGTATTTGGGATGTATGCGGTAAAAGTTTTTCGCCCTTTTGTCTTCTTGGTCACGCTAGAGCCAAAGAGGACAAGTTTTCAGGTTTATGTGTTGGCACGTTTCACCAGGTTTTATATTTGTGAATTATGGTAGCACTTACTACCGCTTGTGGAAGTTTTTTCGATTAGCTGTATTTTGATTCTTACAAAAGTAACAAGGGTGACTGATTTGGATGTCACTTTGTATCCGTACCCTCATTCTTCGGTGGTAACTCAGTATTGAGTGGTAGGCTTGGTGTCTGGTTGGATCACTCCCGTTTCGTTCAGAATAACGTCTTCATCAATGTTTTTAAAACTACTGGACTGGAAGTTCCTACAAGCATTGTTATTTCTCTTTAATGATTGCTTAATTCGGGGTTGTTTTCCCTCCGACAAGTTTTTTCGCTCTTGAACTGGGTGAAGTGTTCTCGAATACAGTTAATTATTTTGTGAGGGCAGCTTTGTACATGGTTTAAAAGGTCTCGTTAATCTACGCTCTTTTGTGAGTACTTTTGCATGAATTCTTTCTCTGCTTTCCAGACCAAATATTTAGAAATGGTCTGGGTTGTCATGGCTCGGGTATTGAATTCCTAGATTAGGAGTGGTGGTGACATTAGCGTATGCCCTGGACAGCCACGAAGTTCGGCTCTTAGATCTCTGGAGCAAGGTGACTAGTTAGGAGCCTGTGAGAACATATTTGCCCGTTACGCAGCTGTCTCCTTTTAGTGGTTGCGTCGTCTATCGGTTCCAAACCTTGTCTGGTGAAATTGTTCATGCTAAGTTGAGCACATATAGACGAGGGCATACACGTATAATGTTTAGATGTTGGATTCTTCATCTACCTCTCTGTCTGCTTTGGCAACCGCATTACACCATCCGTGCTTTTGGCCTTCTCCTTTATTGGGCTTAGTTAGTTTCATTTTAGCGTCGAAGAAAGAGCGAGCCCGTTACAACCCCTGCGGGGGCGTTTGTGGAGTGGGTTATTCGAAGATTACAGGTGGCATGTGTTATCAGCTGATGCCTGGTTTACCCTGGGATTGCATGACCTCTACGCGTTTCGCAATGAATGAACCACGGGATGGACATATCCCTTCTTTTACCTTTGTGAAACAATCAAAATTAAAGCGATGAAAATGTTTGTAGTGCGCATATCTAGATTTTGTATTGCTATCAGTATATGTGATTGCTTGCTTCAAACTCGATGACTATGATATTTCCTGCTGCCTGGGGTGTGGTCTTGGACGTCAGAATGGATCCTGATGTATTTTCAAGAGACCCAAGGTTTGTTACCCGGTCGGTTCAAGATTTTATCAAATGGTAAACAAAACGCAGGTTAGGAACACTCGGCAATCGTGTTTTCCTTGCATATATGTGTCTTATTTACAGGAAAACGGCTGCGGGATCCTGCAATGGTAACCAGAGGTGGGTGGAAGTCATGAACCACGAGTTTCGGTCGTAACATCCCCACCAGGGAAACAGATCTGCTTTTCGAATATCTGTTGCTCCCGAAGATTTTCATTTGAAGGGAACGTCAGGTGTTACTGGATCACTAAGTCGGCTATACACGGGTCGTGATCAGTATGAGACAGCTTTTGAGCTCGGTTTTTATTTCTAGCCTTTAATATTTGGTCCTTTTAAGTGGCGTAATAGTACACGAGAGTAAGTATTTTCAATCGTTTTGACTGTGCTTCAGAAAGAGTAATAATCTTTAATATGCATTGTGGGGATGTTTTGTTTTGTTCAGTTGACGACCCCTTTTCGCGAAAGACTGCAGATATTGCTGAAATCGCATCGTTTTATAGGAAGTGAGCCATATCCTCTTCCTTCGCCAAGCGATTTAAGAACCCAAGCTGGCTTACTCAATTTTTGGAAACTGGGAGGGCAAAGTAGACGCGTTAAGATCGCTGTAACCCTCACCCAAACCGTCATTAATCAGCCATATAGATGACAACAAACAGTAACGAGAACCATCCTTTCGAGTTTTACGGGTTTGCATTCGTGAATAGTTATTACTCGTTAACTCAGGTTCATTTCTCGTCACAGAAGGTATCGACCCTTTCCGAGCACTCTCAGCTTGTTTGCTGGCGATGGGGTGGGAGTTTGGGGTCGACTCAAACAACCGACACCGGTTGCTTCCTAAAGGGCTTACATTTGGCTATAACATCAGATGTACCTGTAATATTACACTATTGCTAGNCGAAGATTTTCATTTGAAGGGAACGTCAGGTGTTACTGGATCACTAAGTCGGCTATACACGGGTCGTGATCAGTATGAGACAGCTTTTGAGCTCGGTTTTTATTTCTAGCCTTTAATATTTGGTCCTTTTAAGTGGCGTAATAGTACACGAGAGTAAGTATTTTCAATCGTTTTGACTGTGCTTCAGAAAGAGTAATAATCTTTAATATGCATTGTGGGGATGTTTTGTTTTGTTCAGTTGACGACCCCTTTTCGCGAAAGACTGCAGATATTGCTGAAATCGCATCGTTTTATAGGAAGTGAGCCATATCCTCTTCCTTCGCCAAGCGATTTAAGAACCCAAGCTGGCTTACTCAATTTTTGGAAACTGGGAGGGCAAAGTAGACGCGTTAAGATCGCTGTAACCCTCACCCAAACCGTCATTAATCAGCCATATAGATGACAACAAACAGTAACGAGAACCATCCTTTCGAGTTTTACGGGTTTGCATTCGTGAATAGTTATTACTCGTTAACTCAGGTTCATTTCTCGTCACAGAAGGTATCGACCCTTTCCGAGCACTCTCAGCTTGTTTGCTGGCGATGGGGTGGGAGTTTGGGGTCGACTCAAACAACCGACACCGGTTGCTTCCTAAAGGGCTTACATTTGGCTATAACATCAGATGTACCTGTAATATTACACTATTGCTAGAAACATCACTTGTTCCCTGGTTTCAAGCAGACTCTGCCCTCTATGTGTGATTATTGTAGTGGAGATCTGCATTGGGTTTGTTGGAGGTTATCCTGGCCCCGTTCAATCAAAATAGATCGCGCACAAAGTTTCCATCTACACTAGTCCCGTACGAGCCTAGGCCAACCAGGGGCCACCCTTACGCGATTTAGAAACTACATATATAATTTCTCCCGCAATGCTAGGACAAAGCTAACAAGGATCACATGGATTGGTCGTCCCCGTTCCATAATCCAATACGCCTCACTTCATTAAATTGAATCGCGCACCTAACCAACGCCGACGCGTTAAAATGATTGCGTAAATACTAATACGTTCAATACCTTGTAACAGAGGTAAAAGGGGGTTTACTGGCCTGCATGACTACCCGTGCCCGGGGCGTGCTTTAGCCTTTTAATAGTTTGGCTCCCATGCCGGTATGTCTTTGAGCAACTGTCCTCCTTTGTACGATATGAGGGGCGGACTCTTGCAAATTTCGCTGAGTAATGGTTGTTGTTATATTCAGTGCTAGTTTCTCACAAGACTTTGCTTTAGGTTAGGCACTTAGTGTGACGGTATTGTGTGACTCACAAAAGGCACGATTCGTAGATTTCTCTTATATGTCGAAGGGTTAGTTTTCTGTCTCAAAATCTATTTCTGAAAGGGTCGTACGTGTGAGATCCCGTGTAACCTCTCTCTAGCAGATGTGATTTGCACGACTCGAACGAGTCGTACCACTTGAAAGGGCCCCCTCACGACAACTTTGCCAACTAATTCTTTGTGTTGCTAATGAGATGGGTGTTCTCCAATTGCACTTGCAAGTGAGATGCAGTTAAACCATATGTGATACCTCAAGCTATCACACGGAAATACCCATTCACCACTAGTACCAATCGCATGAATTGAAAGGCTGATCTAACCACTTTTACCCTTCGTACAAGTTGAAGCACACAGAAACACACACACCACGACTTTCACAACTTGAACAAGTGGTGTGTATTGGACAACCCTCATCGACTTGTGGCGATTTGTTAAGATTTTGTTGTATGGGTTTGGGGATTAGTTAGGGTTGGGAGAGTTCAATTTAGTTAAGGATTGGGAAGGATAAGAGTTCATCATGGTGTTTATGTTAGGATTATGTAGGGGATTCTACAGCGATAGGCGCAGTCTGGGGTGACTTCCCATAACTAAATGCTAATAAGTATGCAAGAAGGATATTGAACGTTTTATACCTTATTAATATTCATTAGACTTCGCGCACAGTATATAAGCATGTGTTAATTATTCACAGTTGTCAGTTTGACTAACTTTAGTTGGAGTCGCCCCAACCCACCCGCCTCTTCTGCTTACTTTATTATTAAGTATGCAAGAAGGATATTCAACTATCTGTACTTTTCGATCCTGCAGTTTCCCTTCGCTCCTTCCTTCTTGTCATCATTATAAATCCACGATCACCTTCAGCAATAGTGAAAGGCAAATGCTCTCACCACCATTCAACTATTGCTGGCTATAGTGTAAGAGTGACAAATATGAATAGTTATCGATACTCAGACTTACTGTTTGTTGCTCGCCACACAATTTCGGACAACACAAGATGTACTGTCAACAGCACGTCATCCTCGCTTCTGTCTAAGCTTGCTGATAAACTTTGCACATCATTGACAAGATGTTCCCAAAGGAAGCCGCAGACACCATCCTCTGGGACCTCTTGTGCTATTAGCTGTCTTACGGCCTTAAAAACATTTATGAATATTTATCGAATGTGACAAATAATGTGACTAACGTGACTTTGATTGGGTAACATAAAATGGTGCTGTCTTGACTTGTAATGCTTACAGTGTGACCATTGCAGTCAGGGCTACCAACACAAAGATGATTGATTGGGTCACGGGAAAATAACAAAACAATTATTCGAGAAAGTTTGTTCGAGCCAATCAGTGGGTCGTGAGAAAAAAAAAAGGAACTTACTTGAGACACAAAGTTGTGTTTGTCTTTTACAAGCGGTATCTTCCAGCAATTTCTACGCTAACGTTGCAATAGGCCTTTGTCAAAAATCATGTGCCTATTTACTCTTTGTTGTCCCTCAAAAATTTGCATAAGGTTTAGATTTCTCTTAGCACTTGCAATCGTCCCAAGAGAAATTCAAAACAGTGCTTATGCAAAATTTGGAGGGACAACAAAGAGCATTATGGTATTTTTGAAAAAGGCCTATAAAATGCGACCTTAAGTCAAAAATATAACCAAAGTTTACGTGTTTCGCCTCAATCAATCACTGTAACGGACGTCGAAACATAGGATTTCTTCATCGTTTTCAAAAGGCCAGGTCTATAGGTTGTAATTGGTTAATTGGTTGGTTGATGTTTTTTTTCGTTTGATAGAAATTATGACTGACAACCAACTTTCCTGGAATGCATCGTTATTTACGTGTAGTCTGATTGGTAAACTTTGTCTTGGTGGCCCTGCCGGTGATAGTAGTCACACTTTAGGTCATAGTGTTGTGGTTATCCTCGCTGCATTTTCTGCATAGGAACCTTACCTCGGGTTCCCTGCAGGCTGATACAAGCATGGCTGAATGGAGAATGACCCTCAGCAGGCTTACAGTTGCAGGAGAGAGACCTCTTTCCGCAACTGATTTCTGGGGTACTCCTAAAATATGCCCTTTGTTAGAACGGTCTCTGAGAAAAGAAAGCGTTTGCTTAAATTAACACAAGAGTCTGACACAACTATATTCAAAACTCCTTAACACAGCCTGTAAAGGCATCGTAGTACCAGTGGTCTGTCCGATAATACAGAAGTGCCTATATTAAAAGGTGCGTCATTTAAGGAGAGGTTCGGGTGTACAATGTGGCAACCATCATTCGATGTTTTGTAAGCGGCATAAATGCGCTATGTGACCGATATTTGGCGCTATGTCTAAAACTGACTCTGTCGAGCTTAAATTAAAAACCGTGGATGGAAAGAAGTGGACCGAGTCTTAAAAAAGTTTGGTCATGAAGCTTTCAAGTTTGACAGGTCCATGTAGGAACAAAAGCCATTTTGATTATCAGTGAGTCTACGTTTGTAGTTCTAACGAAATGTAAACAAAAAGGGAAAAAACCTAGCCCTTTTTTCCCCCTTAATCCTCCACTACCTCTGGTACAAATAGTGTCGTGCAAAAAAAAAATTATGTTGCCTATGGGAAACAGGAAATAAGGGCGTAGTGTCCAGGACTGTTTCTTCTACCTCATCTTGCCTTTACTTATCTTGTCGTAACGAAGGCCAAAAAATCCCACTGTTTTTATGTGGATTTAGGGCATGCAAGCCTACCTCCTATTTGCCAGTCTGTTGGCTTGGGCTAATACGTGTTTTTCGCCTCCGATTGTTACAGAACCTGGGCAATAAGGACAGCTACGCTGCTCATATGGTCTCCCACACTGCGAGGAAAAATACACAAACAGAGCAGGAAAACCATAAGGGAGAGTAACTATATATGGGCATGGTGTGTTAGGTACTCTTCTGCTCTTGTAAGGACAATTTCAAAAGTGGGATATGGCGATGTTACAAGTCCATTCAAAAGATACCGGCTGCTCGGACTACCCTCACTCTTTATTTCCGGAAATTGTCACTTTAAAAATTGAATGGTCATAAATTTTCTAACTAAAACAAAGCGAGGTACTTACGTCACCAACGAAGTATCGATGGCCTGCTGGACATTCTAAACAAAGAAAGAAAGGGAGGACTGAACATATTGCATTATGATCTTATAATTCATTGATGGGGGAATAACTGACATCTTTTGGTACCAATAATTAATTCTTATTAGAAATGGCCTTAATTTTTTTGGACGCTTTAAAAGTTCTTAAAGAACTTGAAATTCCCTATTTTCACCCCTAGAAAATACATCGTAGTCGAGAAGTTAAATAAATAACTACATTAAATCTAACTGAAAATAATATATCATCATGGGGGAGCCGAGTACTAAGGACTGTACATACCATACCACTGACCACCCTCCTTCATGGCGGAAGAAGTTTCATCAAAATTGTCTTCGGGCATAGTTGGGAGAAAGGAATCCTAAAAAAAGGACAAATTTTTACTCTTCTCGAACCATCTTGGAGATACAGAGTAAAACTTCCAGATTATTTTTATTAGTTTTAATTTGAACTAGTTTGATGCAGTTTAAAAGAAATCTCGAGATTTACAATTGTTCTAGTTTGTTTCCTTAATTACTTTATTACCTGCCTTTATCATGAATTTACCTGTCAGAGAATTTTCTTTTATACAAAATAACGGCCGTAAATTAATGCCTTCATTTTTTGGTTTGGCGTTTTGCAAATACTTTATTTCAAATATGTTGTATAACAAAAATTTCACAAACAGGGTAACAACTAACAAAAAGTAGACTACAGCTTTTCATGAACCTTAACATATTGCGTCTTATTAATCTTAGCTTTTTTGCTAACGCTGGGCAAACAGGCCTCGTGTTTCGCTGTTGTTACTAAAATATCTGCATGAAAGTGTCCCGGATGACTGGGATGACAGGAAAGCTCCCTCAGAGGAAGCTGGAGGAATGAAATATCGATCCATCATATATAGCTTGCAAAAATGAAGTTATTGAATTTAAATTTACTTGTCGAGGCATTAGACTTTAGCTTAATTCCTCTCCTTTAACTTACCAGAATTTTTCTTGGACTCAGAAGGATCGCACTTAAAGGTTCCAGTAACTTGTCAAAATCGATACACTCGAAGACTGACGTTGTGTGGATTAATACCTCAGACAAAGCTTTCCCAATGTCCTTTTGGCTCTCCAAGATTGGGAGAAAAGGAAAATTTGTTTCTGCAGAATTTTCTAGAAGTGAGCGAGCAAGACGCGTTGCCTAAAAAATTGTATATATAAAAAAAAGATCTTAAAGTCCGTCCAATGAACAAAACGAACAAACCAACCAACCGACCAATTAATTAATCAACCAAATTAATTAATTAATCGACCAAACAGACAATCAATCAATCAACCAAACATTCCTACAAAAAAGAAAAAACATTGGCAATTTTGTGTTGACACCTGGACGACTCTCTACCAACTAAGCTATTGACCTACTGCCGGATTTTAAATCAGTGCAATTACTATTGTTGGGTTACCTTGTGCAGTTGTTTAAATTTGGTGCATAACAGCGATGATAATCACATTCTCAGTTCCACATTATCTTAATGTTATTGGGTCAAAAGATGGTAAATGTGGGTAAGCAAGGTTTGCGCGAAGCGCTGTAAGCTCTGATTTATTTCGCGAGGAAGAATTCAATGAGTTAACTTAGTTCAACGATTTTAGATGCAAAAGCAGTACATTGCTCAAAAGAAGATCAAAACGGTTTCGACTTACACTTTCTGAAAGATATTTGCCACGTTTTAGAACATTTTCTACCACTGAGTAAGCCTAAAGGGTAGAAAGAAGAAAAAAGAACTGTTTACAACAAATTGTAATACTGGAAGAGACTTATTTAAACACTTTACCCAAGTTCCGGGGGGGAAGTGAAGGAAAAACTCTTGTCATCAAATAAAACGATTTCTACTCTAATTTCTTGCCATATGTTAAAACAGTGCAGAGTAGAAGATGAGAATTTCGATAGCGGCAATCAATCAGGGGCACCCAACGATATAGTTCAAAACCACTTAAACATAACATTGCTGAATGTATTTTAGTATTTGAACGGTAGATATAGGCATATTTTTATCCCCTAAACATTTTACATCTGTTCGGATTTCCTAGCTAAAAGTCTAGTGATCCGAAAATTATAGAGATCAAAATTTAGCTTTTGGAAAATTTCAGCCAGAAAAAAGGCTCCCGAAAATTCTAGGTGACCTTTTTTAGGGTAAAAATCCGTTAAAAATGAGCAATTATATCATTTTTTAGAAGTTCGAAAATCTTAGGAGATCCAGGCAAGCAAGAAATTTTACAACAAATGTTCCAAAAATTCTAGATCTGAGATCGTCTTCCGAACAGATATTTTCCAAAAATTGACCTTGGTTGCTCTTGATCAATATGGCACCAACAATCTGAATTTTACTAGGGTAGGTGAACATTCGATTTACCAAAATTGGTAAAATTGGTAAAATTGGTAAAAATTTGCGCCTGAAACGTACCTTAGACCGAAGTTGTTGGTTTTGCGCCTCTTCCTCCGACATTCCGACTTCTCGGTACAAAGCCAGAAGTATAGTAACATCTTTAGCATGTCCAGGCACACCATCCAACGCCTACAAGAAACCGGTGAACGTCAGCAGTACTCTAAAAAGTTGCTGGTACTCATGGTTATGAGAATATACTTGGTTCATCAAAGTCTCTTTCATAGTTGAAGTCGTCAAATGTAAAAGAGGTTTATAAGTTACCTCCAATGATGCAATTAAATCATCCATGTTTTCGCTTAAGATGGCGCTTGCTAACGAATCTCTCAGTTTGTGATAGTAGTCTCCATAAACCAAGAACCTGTCCAGCGTCATTCCATCACCCTATTAAAGGTTAACAAAGATTTTGCGAGTGGCTTTTCGTGGACACACATTGAAATCTGGTACTGATTGAAAATATTTCTTTCCTCTGACGAGCCTTAATTACACATATCTAAAATAATACGTAAATCATGTTAATAATAATAATAATAATAATAATAATAATAATAATAATAAATACTTTATTTATACTGCAAAAAATAGATCAGCTTATTATAAAAAAAAAACAGCTGGTATAAACCTATGTGCAGTAATAAAATATTTCAAGATTAAAAAAAAGCAATAGTACATAGTAAAAAAGCGGAACGACCAATGTTTGTAATAACAAAAGGTGTTAAAAAATTAAAATGAATTAATCTACAATCTACATTTATGCTGTGTTTGGTCTTGTTCTTGCAAATACTTATAAATGTCTTTCTTTTAAAAGATCCCTATGTTAGGCCATCAACCCGTAATTCATTAGGTAACTCGTTCCAATCCTTTGCTCCTGTGAATTTAAAGGTAGACTGGCCAATAGTGGATTTTACTTTAGGCAGAAGAATTTCTCGTCTATCTCTTAAGGTCCTGCCACGACATTCGGATCCCAAGGTCACATAATTATGAAGTTGCGCGCGTAGGACAAAGCTGATTGCTAACAATTTTGAAGACTAGCTGAAAACGCATAAATCTTCGGCTACTAGGTAGCGCCAAAAGGCCTAGTTTGTATCTCACCGTTAAGATAGTCCTCATAGCTTTGTTTTGTAATCGTTTTAAAAAATCAGAGTTTTTCTTGGAGCAAGTTCCCAATAAAATACAACCGTAATCTAAAATAGGTAAAATTGTCGCTTTATAAATCTTCAAAAGAGTAGTTAGATCCAGAAAGGACGAAATCCTATTCAACAACTTAAGTTTGGGGTGGACTCTGGAGGCGACAAAAGATACGTGACTGTTCCAAGAGAACGATTCGTCTACTATCACACCGAGGTACATAAAGGGTCTCTTCTGCTCTAGAAACGAACCACCGTAAGATGTACGAACATCTCTGGCAGTTTTGCCTGCCCTGTGTGATGCAATAACCATTGTCAACGTGTTTTTCGTGTTACAAATAAGACCATTGTTAGAGAATCACTTGTCAATGTTTTTGAGATCGTCGTTCATTCTGTACTCGGCCTCGTCAACGTCTTTGGAACTAAAATGAATCCCGGTATCGTCTGCAAATAGCATAACATCAGAACTGTGACATGCTTTAGATACGCTGTTTATATGGATATAAAACAAAGTTGGACCAAGGACCGACCCTTAAGGGACTCCAAACGGGAGATGTCGAAACTCAGAAGCAGAGTCTCTACATACAACAAATTGACATCTGCCAAACAGGTAGCTTTTTAAAAACCACTGAAGAGCGTTCCCTTTAATACCATAAGAGTCAAGTCTGGAGGGCAGTATTACATCTTCATGACATCAAACACTTTTCTCAAGTCTAGAAAAACGCAAACAGACTTTAGACCATCAACGATAGCAAACTTCCAAGAGCCTACTACTTTGAGCAATGCCACTGTCGTTGACGAAAACTTGGAGTAGGCGAATTGATGCTGTTCTATGAGACCGACCTCGTGTGCAAAATTTCTTAAGTCGGTTTTAACAAAAGACTCCATGATCTTCGAAATACAGGGCAATACCGAAATAGGCCGATAATTGTCACAATCGGTTGGTGAGCCTCCTTTGAACAGTGGTGCTACCATGGCTATTTTCCAGACAGATTGAAATTGACCAGTGCGAAGCGACTCATTGAAAAGGCAATACAGACTCTGAGAAATGTTAGGTGCCGCTAGTTTAAGTGCCTTTACGGAAATTCGGTCACATCCCGTAGCTTTGGATTGATCGCGTTCCTTTAAGTAATGATAAATTAAAGGTCCTGATGTAGGGAGAAACAGGGTCAGGCGCTGTTTCAAATACGATATTGTGACGATTGGCCAATAACGTTGTTGCAATGTAGGCAACATATGCGTTAGTTCTTTCTCATCTACAATTAGACTGCTAATACTACTTTTCTCGTTCTTGTTCGGAAGAATCATGCAAGCTAATTGTCTTTCAGAAGCTTCGCGGGTTTGATTTACAATCTTGTAATTTATCAGTAAAGAACGTCTTTCTGGCTTTTCTGATAAGTGAGGTAACAAGATTACGTAGTCGCCTGTATTCCGTCTAGTCAGAGGACCGATTGAATTTCCTAGCCTTTTTGTGGTACTTATCGCGCCTCCTTATCATGACCAGAATCGATTTGTCAAGCCAAGGATACGTTGACTTGCGTACGCGTTTGCGACGAATGGGAAAGTGTTCATTTAATACAGAGGTGAATGGTCATTGCCAGACGTACCACTTGTCGTCAATATCGGAAAACATTTCCGCGATATGCCATGGTACAGACTGTAAGTCAGCGCTAAATTTGTCGGCATTTTGAGCTTTAGTAGAACGCGTTGAAAGGCAGCGATGTTTTGAAGACCCAATAGCAGGCCCATGCTTAAAGACTCCAAAGATAGGTAAATGGTCGCTGAATGAGGTGGACAGAACACCAGCGGAATTAAACACACTAAGGATCGATGTAACCAATACATCAAATAGTGAAAAGGACGAACTTGTCACTCTGTTCGGCTCTGTTATCAGTTGTGAGAGTTTATTCGCCATCAGAAACTTCCATTCTTTCCGTTTGTTAAACTTGATTTACAAAAACTTAAATCTGTGAGTATACTCGTTCGCCTTTATTTGAGTGAAAAATATTTCCAGATTTGAGCATTCTTTGTAGTTCTAGGATTTCACTTACGCCAAAGATTTCAAAAGTGCTTACCCCTATTTGTCGAAATTCGGCTGGAACTATCCAGAAAAGGTCTTCATTTTGAGAAACTGTAGCAATAGAATTCACTCCGTATCGCTTAACCAGCTGTTTTAGAAGAAAGAGAGCAAGAGACCTCGAAGGGACCGACGTACACAGCTCTTGGACTGTATTAAACAAAGAGTTCAGAGCTTCGCTTGTTTCGTAATTGGACCATTTTTCATCATCACTGACGATTCTCATATACATGAACTCTGCAGTCTTGCTCAAGGCGTAGCGCGTCTTTGCTACAGCTTCGAAAGGAGACACCTGTAGCTCATCAGAACTTGGCAAGTCCCTCGCCAGGATTTTCAGCGCGTCTTGGCATAAGTTGTCGACAATGCGAATGGTAACTTTTAGTTCCAAGTCGGAATTCCTAGCACAATCACTGGCCCAAAAGTTCTGGAAAGGAAGAGGAAGAATAAAATCAATACCTTCCGTTAGAAGAAACGCTCTAACTAAAGACCTGACATCAATAATGGAGGTTTTCCAAGAAGGTTGTAAGCTTAAAAGGCCTTCCTGTTTGAAACGAATGTCATTGAATTACATCATCTCAATATCAATTCAGACAACTGCTGTTAAGCTTCAGGACTGTGAACTCATCCCTACCTCCATGCACTGTACGACTAGGAGACAAACGTTCAGAACATGTGGCGCCTCTGAAGACAAACCCTGAGCTTTGTAAAGGAACCGTTCAAGATGCCTCTTAGCCTCCTGATAACTAAATAAATAGAATTCCAAAATGTTATTAGGACATCATATCAAGACAGTTACATTCTGGAGTCGAATGGACGTTCAGGTTTCCATGAGAGATTTTTTTCTGAATGTTTCTCTTGTTAGGTTGCACCTACCACCTCACATCATCGTACTAAGCCCGCCTGTGGTGGCAAAGCCAGGCCCATTTGTAGCCTTACATACATTGCTTTAAAATAAGAGAACAGGACATGTTTGTCCATAACAGAAACATTCAAGAGAATTCTATGTGAAGGCAAGGGCGGATTCATTTTCAGCATATCACCATAGCTGCGAAATTTGCCTAAAGGAAATTGCTGTTGTTTTCAATTAAGGATAAAAGAATACAAATTTCGACTGGCAAATGCGACGGCTATGTGTGTGGTTGAAAATAAATCCACACCTCCAACTGTATGGCGTGTAGAACTATTCCAAACCAGAGTTATATCGCATATTACGACTGCAAAGTGAAGAAAAGTAAAATAAGTAAAACCATCAAAAAATAAACAAACAAACAAACAAACTTCTGAATTAAACGAATGTAGCGAAAACACAACCTGGAATTGATAAGATGTTGTAAGAGAAATGATCTCACGACAGGGCTGTTGTCCATTCCAAATCTAGGGAACGGAGAGACCGGTTTTGTTTCTGTCAACTCCTCTCCCACGGCGTATCGCATAAGCATCTCAAACACTCCTGTATCCAGCTTAGGAATATCTTCTCCAAAACAAAAAACTGAAACGATATCCACAAAGAAGGTGTTGCAGCGATGAAGAAACTGTGCGTGACCTTCCAAGCTGTTTCTGCATAGGAAGGAAAGAACATTACAGTCATCTTGATGACAAATGTATAATTAAACACAGCTAAATGAGGAGAAGTGACAAAGAGGTTGGATACTGTAATTCTTTTTGAAAAACGAAGAACGTTATACCATAAAGTAACCTCTTTTCCACAAATCTACTGCTACTTGTAAAAATCTTAACTGAAGCTACTCACTCCTTATGTTGTTGAAAAGAATCCTCACTGCAGCTTAGTAAAAATCTTTCAAGAACATCAAGTGAGGATTTCTTTGAAAAGTCTGTCCTTTCACCCAAAGCCTGGAAGAGAAAAAAGATGGTTTAAGGGATCAGAGGGTCATCTGGTAAATCACAATCAATAAAATATGAGGAAAGGGCTTATTGAACGACTGATAATGAAAAGGACGTGGCAGTGGTTTGGCCATATGCAAAAACGAAAAGTGCTCAGATCGAAACCCCAGAGAACAGAAGAAATAGCAGGCGCCCTAAAACAGACTAGAGATTGACGGGAAGCTGAATCATTCTGGAGATGTTTTCCCAGGAAAGAGCTACAGCGTAGATGAAGGAGAGAATTTGCAAATGGACGCTCCACATGGGGCTAAAGTAATAAGTACAACTACGACGCTTTAAATATAGATAATAAAAGCAGCTTTTGAATATTTGTCCTATTTCTTACCTTCCAAAGTTTCAAAATTGTCTGCCCAACATCGGGATTGATCTGTGATGGGTACACATTCTCAATGAACATTCTCACTGCACTCAGACGTTGCCACATGTACCTGAAAATTTTAAAGAAAAGCTGGTCGATGAATTCTTCCACAGTTAATAAGAAATACTATTTAGAAAAACCTGCACTGTGTGAGTATTGCTTCAGTTTTGTGTCCAACAGGTGGCCCTTCTTTGAATGCTTTAACAATCATTGCTTCTACTGGTACTTTTAAGGACAATACTTCATCACACCATTCCCTCCTTGTTTCTGGCTCTGAAAAATCTTCTTTTTGAGGCTCTAAACTCTCCAAACTCATTTGCAAGGCACAGGCGTCTACGCACTGCAAAACAAAATGCGTCAGAAACGGTTGAAATGAAAAAATAGACTTCGCATTTTCCCAAGACTATACTATTATTTACCACTGGGAAATCGACTTGATTGATCACATCTTCTTTTTATGTTTTTTGATGCCAGGAATCTCTAGATGTTAATTACAGTTTTCCAAAACCTTCCATACCTACAAATATGTTATCCAAAAATCCTCGCGAAGCTTTAAAGGATCAGATGTGAGAATAAAGGGAAACAAGCCAAGGAGGAAAAATGATCATAAAACTAAAAAAAAAAAAGTTACAAAGTCTTAAAGTATGACTGCCAGATTCGAACTTGCTCCCTCCGAATATCCTACATATGAATTTAGATCCTTGACCACTGCGCCACGCGCGCAGCTACTGGATAAATGTTATACTAAAATTTTTATACTAAGAGCATTTCTCTCTTTCATAAACGCTGTTTGAAGTTGGTGGAGCTGTATTGACCATGAATTCAAATACACACTCGATAAAAGATAAGCTTAAAGGCGTATTTCAAAGTCATTTTGCATTTTTTCGGTCTCAAAATCTACACTTGGGTTCAACGACGGATGGACCGGATGTACAGAGCTGAAACCAGTCTTTGAATTGATCAATCGGTGATCGGTGGGGAAAGAACCAATTTATTGTTGGTTTGCCTCGGTACAATGCATGAATTCAACGATACATATTTTAGGGAAAAGCAAGGTTTTGACGGCAAAAAGCCGAAGTGAGACGCACTTTTGAATAAAAAACATGATAGTGACCACAGGATTTTCATTCGCACTTGAAGTAGCGTTGCCTGGCAACCCCAAAAATCACCCCGACGTCACAACGACGTCACAACTGGATGACGTCACTGCGGACACCCAAGAGATCTATAGAAATATTCTCAACTCGAGTTTCTGCCTCGCTGTGCGATCAAAGCGCGACAGATTTATAAACCTCGCTTCGCTCGGAATTTCTTGACTACGAGAGTGGACAGACATGTATTCGTTCGTGTTGCCTTTTATATTTTGTTTTGTTTTTGTCAGTGTCTACTGTCTATTAAGACATGTATTCGTTCGTGTTGCCTTTTATATTTTGTTTTGTTTTTGTCAGTGTCTACTGTCTATTAATAAGTCCGATTCTCTTGGCGGGATGGATTCGAGAAATTCTTTTTTCATTTCGATGAGAATGAAAATGAGAAGGATAAAAGGAACAAACGTCTAAGTCTTACCATCTCGTTTTCATCCCAAGAAAAACTGCCACAAAGTTCTGGTAATATATCAGGCCTAGAATGTAGTAGCTGTGACAGCCAGGTGAGCCGTTGCCTTATACGGGAATGTGCTGTATGTATGGCTGCCAAGTCCAATTCAAAGGGCCTTCCTGTGGACCTCTCAGAATGCATTTCTTTTGCTGCGGCTACAATCGCTCTGAGAACAACCTGGAAAACGAGACGAAAATGTTCTGGAAGTGAGGCTAAGATATAATTTCTATCTGGAGGGAACTCCTCTCAAATAAGGTATGTAAATCAAACGGGATTACGATTCCCAACTAGCATGAGACAAAGCAATTGGTTAATAGCAAGGACGGGTTGCCAGAGGTCTCCAATTCGAAGCATATCTAGTGAGTAATGCCAGGGTTACTTTCATTCATCAACGTCAAATAGGAAAATGGTCAACTGTTACCTCTAGTTCGTCATCTTCTTGAGGTGCGTACGTCATGTGTGCAAAGTCGTGCAAATAGCGATCTGCCACTGCTTCCCCGCCGTCAGAGATGGCTTTTGACAAAATTTCATGTACTTCTGAATTGTTTACCAGCCTCCGCATACATTCGGTTGTAGATTCATTGGAGTTGACTAAAATCAAAACAGCAATGAAATAAGCATGAATGAATGAATCACACAATCAATGATTCGTGGCGTTTACTCGTATTCATGAGTATGGGATTAGCCTAACTAAGTTTCAACATATATAAGGTGCCTCCAAACATTTTCTATAGGCATCAAGCATTACTGGGCTTCTAATATCAGCGAATTTTAGAATATTAACCTTAAGTTTACTGAACTAATTTTTGAGTATGAACACTTGAAGGATATTCTCACCAAAAGTATACTGTAGCTACGACAACCTACGACCACAATTTAATCAACCAATATTCGGCCATTTTAGTACCATTACTATAGCATCAAATGAGAAAAAGTGGATAACTGATCCATCAAATTCAAAGTTTTGAACACAGCTTGATTCTGTACTGCCATGCACCTTAAACAGCGATTGCGAAACGGCAATTTATTCCCTGTAACTTAAGGGAGCTATCAAACATACCACGTGGGGATGAATATTTAATCAATTCGGTTTACATTCTCATGGACGCACATGAAAAACTTAAAGCTAATTGTTTTCCTAATTTCAGAAAAAGAAATTTATTTGGAGGTTTAATTCACCTGCTATACTTCTCGCATCTCGAAGCAATTCGTCCATGCACTCCTTGAGAAGCCACGAAAATGGTAACTTGCACTGAAATGAATGGGAGCGATATCCTGATTTTTGGACCGGAACCTTCCTTCTTAAAACTAAGGCATCTCCCTTTTGGACCAAAAAGTCATTGTACTCTAGATAAGTAAAGGAACTGTCTCGAAGAACTTTTAACCACAGGTTTACGATCCAACCGTCTTCGCTAGCTGCCAAATCAAGATTTCCATCTCGGTCAACATATGCAATAAGTTCTGCCAGAAATGGGGCCACAACGGACTGGAAGCGACGCCACAATGCCTTTTTGAATGTTCCAGTTTCCTTTGTAGTGGTAGATAATGCCTCATTTTCTAGCCAGTCGTTTCCTTTATTCGGTGCTCGTTGATCTCTTTCTTGCAACAGTTGATAGACACGTTCTGCAAGCACCGCCTCAAAACTTCCTTCACCTACAAAGGTTAATCAATATGACCACCTATTTATAATGACGTTTATTTACTTTTACTCGATTACTTTTTTGGCAAACTTACTGAGTATCATTAAGTTAAAGTGTTATTGCTTGAGCTATACCGTAATTGTGAAAGTCTTTTGCTAAAAGTTTGAATGTCATCTCTGCAAATGCTCTTACAATGTAAGCAAGAAACCTAACATAATAGAGCGTTCTATCGCAGTTCTATTTTGCAAAAAGAGGTGCGTTGGTTGTATTGAAGATATTTAGCCAATCGACCATTTAGATTGCAAAGTAGTCTCCGTCAAAAACTGTACTTGTGGGTGTTACAGCCAGACCTTCTTAGTATAAGTAGGACTCTGAAGGTGCAGAGCCGTGCCCGCATCAAAAGGAAAATAGAGAGGTGTCAGCGAGGAATGGCTCTGGCTGTATCGTTACGTGTGTTGAAAAGAGTCAACAGTACCAACAGAAATTTATACATACTTTCACGAGTTGTAGACGTTTTTGTGGAAAGCAAGCTAACCATAAGTTCGACTCTTTTGGTGGCTCTTCCAAGAGTGGTATTATCATCCTCAATCCTACTAGCAGCCTCCTGAACACAACTAGTTAGCACCTGCCGCACAGTGAAATTATCTTCTGTCTTGTTTAATGCACCCTCAAATATTCTGCTAACAGAACGGCCTGTCATAGCTTCAATGGGTGGTATCTCCTCACTCGGTGGGCAGAGCTCGTCAATATGAACTGACAACCAGCCCTCTCCTTGAACTGCGACAAAATCTGGGCATCCTCCAGCCACTCTAGCCAGTTGTACAATCATCAAGATGTGAATGGATCCTATGCATTCTTGATCCAGCTCTTTCTCCGTTTCTCGGCACTCTTCTATGAGCAGATGTCGGGCACAGGCAACCAAGTCTAGTGTTCGGTCCGTGGAATCACATTGCACTATCAGTAGGCCTTCTCTGCCTCCAAGTATTGCAAAAAACTCCCTCCTAAAATAACAAACACACTATGATTTTATTTCACTGTGATGGACAAGTATAAGCTGCCTGTAATGAATTATAATTAAAAACTTTTCACGGAGAGTGGAATGTTTTAAGAAAATGCACGCTAATGAGATTGAGATAATCAACGACACCAGGAAGTGTTCCATGGCCCCAATTCTCACCTAAAAGCAAGCAACTATGTGAAAATTAAGTCAGACGGAAATCAGGCCTGAGTTTTGAGCATTGCTGGGCATTTCTCGAGAAAGGAACGAAGTGCCGGTCCCAAAAGCCAGGGTCCATCTCAGGGTGAGCTGACTGTACATATTACGGTGTTACAGATTTTTTGTGATTTAAGTATCATAACTAAGCTTACCCGATGCAATTGCAGAACTGTTGCTCAGTTTGGAACTGTTGTAACGAGACGCATTTTACACAGCCTTCAGGAAGGCCAGCAGCTTCTGCTATGGATGTAATGTCGCGGTCAGAGAGTAAGCGTGAATGTGTCGATATCTGCAAAAAAGTGTTTTTTCTTTTGAGACGGTAAAGCAAAAAGGCTTTTCAAACAAGCAGCGTACTTAATATTGTTAGGCACTCCTTCCACAATCAAGGTCACCAAAGCCGCATGTATACATTGTAGAGTACACTTTTTTAAAGTTTTTTTTCTCCTGCTTATAATGTTTCTAACGACAGTTTCCTATCAACCTTAGCTAGCGTTTTTTGATTTGCTTATCGGATATTTTCATTAACTTACAGTTTTTTTTTATTCTCAAAATGTAGTACCTTAGCTTCGCAAGACTTGTGATAAAAGAGAGTATTCATGAAATTATCTTACTTGAGCACGAATTGCTGCTTCTTTTGTTGCTTGTAACTTGGGCTCCTTCAAAGCTTTCACCAAAAAGTTAGCCAAACTTGAGTGTTCCTGTTCCCGAAAGTATTTAGTCCACAAATTAGACGCCTCTCTTTTCAGACGAGACGAATTGAGACGAGTCACGGAATCAGGAGTTGCGCACTGTAATAAACGTTCCTGGGAGCACCTCAAAATCTGGAAAAATTGGAAAAAGAGAAATTAGGAAACTCAGATAAACATAAGCAATAATCGATGGGGTGAAAGCCGGTGGGAAGCGAGGGATCCGAGAGGGTGACTAGCAACACTACTAAAGATTTAAGGCTGTTCTTATTTATCAACAAGATAACCCGTAACTGCTGAGTTGCCAATACCATCTAAGGCTCTATGTTTTCTTTTTCAGTTTTTCCTTTAGGCTTAAGGTCACTAACTATGTAAACAGTAATTTTTCTTTAAAATGAAGACAAAAATAAACATATCATAGAGCGCAAAGAATAATATATAATGATAATAAAAATGGAACAAAAAAATCATAACATGAAAGAAGTACCTTTTCTTCCCATGCCTCCCTTTCCACATCTGATAAGTCTGAGCCATCTTCGTGAGACTCCGCACAAACTTGTAAAACTACAGCAGGCACGCAATCTTCGTGGTAACCAATAAAGGCGTCTCCTTTCGTAAATGTTCGGCTAAAGGCAAATATATTTACATATTTCACTGTTATTTAGCTGGTAAGGTACCCATAGAAACACAAAAAACACATGATTATTTTCTTTGCTGATATAGTGATAAAGCCTCTGTGTAAAATTTATTAATTATTTATTAGTTATGACCATGAACAAATCAATAGGTACTAACAGGCCATTTTCAAGATGACGACATTTGACTTCAAATACCAGAATGCATTTCGCTTTTGATTTCTTATTTAAATTTGTCAATCCCGCTGAGGTTTACTGTAAATAACAATAGGCCCACTGAATTTGCACAAGAATACAACAAACTGAAGGATTCTGGTAATTGTAGTAAGATAACGTCATCGTTCAATTGTCCTGTTGAGTCACTTGACTCTTCTGTAAACCCCAACATAATTTCAGCTTCTTTTTTTTGATGAATTAATAAACAGTAGAATCAACTTTTGATACAAATTCCTTTCCAGCAAATTAGTGTTTAGTAAATTTGATACAGATTTCTACTCATTGTATCATGACACTAGTAAAAGATGAAATATTCGCGACCGATCTGTATGGGCACTGCAGTGGCTCGCCCTTTTAAACGACTATACAGATCTCCTGCTCAAATTTTGTCTAGTACTTAGATAAGTCATACCCTTGTTTTAAGTTAGACTGTGAAAAACCAGCGTGCGTTGGCGTGATGCAGAATAAAGATACAACACAAATCAGTCGTTACGATTTTCATAGTTACTGTGTTTTCCATCAATTTCAACAATAAGAAACACAACGAATGTGACTTTTGTATAATTTGATCATGATTAGCAATATTAGATTGTTCCAAAGGAAAAAAAAGGTGGTGGTTTATGTGAAGAGCAATACTAATACAAAAATATGTAGACTCCGTAGAAAAATGCAACCTCTGTCTTTCATGCAAGGGACGAAAAACATCTGCAAATTCCTCCACCCAGGCTTGTAATTCCTTGGTAACGTTTTTCTGCGCCTCTGTGAGGCCAGACGACATGACCAGGAAGTGCTTCTCCATGCGGTTAATAAGTGGAATGGGGAATCTGTTGTAAACTTCATCCTTCTCGGCGATGACAATCAGCCTAGAAAGAAAGCGTGTCAGAAGAAACTGAGATCATCTTTTCCGATTGTAATTTGTATTTTGCCTTTCCTAACACAAATTTTTATTCAAAGGTTGAAAAGTCAGAGGGTCAGTTGCTTGTTAAAGCATTTAACCTGAAAAATTGAAAGTAACGGTATTCGACGTTTTGATGATTGTAACGTCATTATCAAGAATGAAAACTGTTAAGGTAAAAGAGTTGAGGTTTGAATAAATTAGATGGCATTAGTGTATACATGATGCTCGAAGCTACTCTTTTAGGAAATGTGAATACTGATCAAGAATACACAAATTTTATGTAATGTATTCAAACAACTTTGACATTTCACGGTCTTCATGGTTGGTAATGATGTTAGAAATATCGAAACGTCGAGAAAAGATATTTTTAATTTTTCTTGTCAAAAAGTTAGAAAATATCTACTAAGCTTTGGGATAATCGTATCACGGGCCCATGGCAATGCATCAGGCTAAGCATAAACATAAGGCACATTTACTTAACAGTGGCAATTTTTACAAAAATAAAAACGAAGGGAAATTGTTTGCCTCCTCCATAAACTCTAGGTAGTTCCAACAAAGCCTCTGGGCCTTGTCTTTTTATCATAAGGTTTTGCCAATATAGCATAATCACAAGTTATGCAGTGTTCCTATCAATTATCCCATCCAATGGTTTCAGTTGTTACCTGAAATCTTCATGAACCCGGCATTTTACCCGGTGATTTCCAAGTCCAAGATCAACATATTTCTCTCCACCAAAAGTGACATAGTACTATATAAACAAAAGTACAATTAGATAAGTAAAGAAACTCATGCTACAGGTATTTCTTTATCTTGAAATCGTTTTTTTTAAATTGAGAATTGCTAAGTCCGGCCTCTGTTTTACGAGTTATCCAAACGAACATAAAGTTGTGACCACTATAAATTTCTTAGAAATGAACCTTGTATATTACGAAGCTATGGCCTCTCCACTGAACAAATTTGTTGTACCGTCAATTTCAACCCGAAACTAATCATAGCCCTCTTTGACAAGTTTTGGTAGTTTCAAGTCTGTTGTGTTAAAGTAGCTCTAATAGAGTTTGAACAATTACAAGTGTTTTAGTTTTTTACTTTCTAGATGTGAAATGTTGTAACGTAACTGACCTGATTTAGAGCATCGTAGAGGCTTTCATAGAGATTGTCAAGATTTAACAATATCACAGTCCTGCCCGTTTCCATGCAGATCTTGACGCGATTTATGTTGCGGCAAACCTGTGATAATGAAATTGCCGACGCACGATTAAGAAAAAAAAATGACAGCTGTCTGAAAAGGTGGTAATTAACTAATATAATATTCAACGCTTTTCGAGACTGATGGGGACAAAAGACCGGTCGAAAAATAAAGGAAATCAGTGGAGGAATGGGAAAAAAACCACTTGACTAACCGATCATTCTCTTAAAAAGGGCACTTTCAGGGTGTCCAGGGGCATAATTGCTCAAAAAAATAGGAAAATGGGAAACTCAGGATTGAGAAAATAGGAAAAGTAGGAAACTTTGCACTAAAAATAGGAGAAAAATAGGAAAATGAAAAGTGCTTTTGTCGACAAAGATAGCTTCCCTGCATCCCATAAGGGTTATAATAAAGGCTATGAGTCTTCAGATTCTATGTTCACAGGATTTAGATCAACTTCCGTGGCTAAGAAGGAGTGAAAATGATCAGTAATGTTTAGTTTATTGGCTCAGTTACGCTGTATTTAATCAGAATGATATGACTTACTACAGGTCGAGCGTGGTTCTATAATCAAAGGTGATCATATGGAAATTCCCTTCACGTTGACGGCAAATCTTTCAAAAGCTTTGAAGAGTGAAATTTCTTAGGATAGAAATTTTTTACGATTGAGTTGTCTTTGATTGATATCGAAAAAAGTCCTATGGAAAGCTTTCCTTCCATTAATCTGCAATCGGTGGCTGGTTGAGAATATGCTTGTTTGAGTCAAAAGACCGCATAATTTTAAGTACGGAATCGGGCTCTCCGTGGTGTATGCAAAATGACACTCATCTATTTGGTACCAGATTGTAAGTGTGTCATGGTTAAGTTCTGAGAAGAACATAATACTCTGCTTAGCTATGACTGCAAGACCGATTTTGCAACCAAAATATTGGATCCTTCACCAGTTGCTTAGGTATAGCTGTTAACAAGGGTCACCAAGAGAGCTAGTGCCGTAAACTAAACTTTAGTCTGTTCTTTTCATGTAGTATCCAGAATCAGCTAGTGATTGGTTTTTTAACCAAGAAGCTGATTGGATGATTAAACTGGCCTGTGTTGTGAGAGGACAACTTGATCCTGTTTTCAGTTTCAAAGATGAACATAAAAGCGAGCAAGACTTCAAAATAAAATATAACATGTACAGATACTGAAATGCAGTTTCAGTGGGCCATGTAAAATATTTAACAATTACTCCTCGAGCCCGAATGGGCTCCGAGTCAATAGTGGCCGAATGGGCTATTAACTCAGAGGCCATGAGGGCGAGAGAAATAATTTTTTTAGTAAAATCCAACTAGTTGGTCAAAAATATCGAGAATAAAAATATTTTACCTAGTTAAAGCTAGACTTTAATCCTTTTTTGCCGCCAAAAAGCCCGAACTTTTTGCTACTAGATAGTGGGCTATAACATATAGCCCAGTAGTAGCTCAACCAATCAGAATGCAGCACTGATAATAGACCACTAGTTGGATTTTACTAATGTTCAATAGTCAAGAGGACTATAACACTTCATACAATACATGCAGGTGCACGAGAAAATTATACACAAAGTAGGCAATAGAGGTCATGGAAAGAACAAAGGTAACTGTCATTTTTACTAATATTAGAACATCAAAGTCAACATGCTACTTGCTTTATGATAAATTTCACTCAAAAACACATACAACTATAATTCCAGTTTCAATTTTGTTACAAATTTTGGCTTCACCAGCTAAAAAATAGGAAAAATAGGAGGTTTTAGTTTAAAAATAGGAGAAAATAGGAATAGGCTCAAAAAAATAGGAAAAAGTACGAAAAAATAGGGACTGGACACCCTGCACTTTCCGAAGCAAAATGAAATTAACTCTTGCCTGAGTGAACAACTGGTCCTTTGGGAAACTGCTGCCAAAAATAACATATGGCTCTTCTTTGTCTAACTCAAGCAAAAGCTGCTTAATTCTTGGTAAAGCCGCAAAATTTTCAGTCATTATTAGCAAATAGCGTCCCTCTCTGTAAGGAAACATGATATTGAAAAGAAAAAAGTAAAAGTAACAGCACTGGAAATGATATTTAACATTCACAAATAACGTTGCTGTTAAAGAAGGGACAATGTGCAGGCAGACGCGAATCAAAACTGGATGGATCTGGTCGTCACGTTGCTTACTGGTTGCACCACTGTTTCGTTGCCTGCATCAGATGAACGCAGAGAGAATTAATCGTAGATGTGCTGTTTTCAAACAACTATCCTTCACACACACACAAAAAAAATTCATAAAGAGCATCACAGTGAATGGAATTCTTCTTGTTAGTCAGAGTAAAAACATGTGCATAACGGGGTTATTCAAAATGGCACACGACAAACGAGTCAGTCAGTTTGTCCACGAGCACAAACTGATACTGTCTTTTTTTGAGGCTCAAATATGTGGGCCGTAAAAAGGACTTGTTAGGAGAACAACCATCACAAATACAGCAAGCGGGGAATAAATTGAACATTTAAGACTACTAACAACTCACCCCATTAAGCTTTCGCGACGCAAGCTGTCCCGAATGAGGCCCAGATTATCAAGGCCCAGGTGGTCTTCTTCACCCTGTAGGCGAAGGAAAATAACAACCTTTGGTGATGTTGGAACTGCTCGGGTTGGGGGGGGGGGGGGGGGGGGGGGAGGGATTGTATTTTTTTCCCCCTGTTTTTCTTGACCCCCCCCCCGCCCCCGGTGGCAGGCCCCTAGTAAGAGGGGCGGACCCGGGTTTGGTTGTGCAAAAAAGCAGGGGGGACCCCAATTATGGGAGCCGGGGGGGGGCGGGAGAAAGAGAGAGGTAGGACAAACAGGCATCTTGTGGTTTTTTTTGTTTACAAATGCAAATTAAGCTTAAGTCTTGCGTTACTTTATTTAGTTGACTTGTTCATGAATAAGCTTAAAACTAAATTTAATAATCTTTTTTACAGAATTATTTTAAATACAAACAGAATTCATAACTCCTTTTGAAGAAACTTCCCCGCAAGAGCTAAACAAACGTCTTCAAAAGTTTTATTTGTCGCTAAGAAAAAGCGACGACCGCGGCCGTTCGGTCATCGCGCGCCAAAATTGTAATCGTTGGCAACAGTAAATGAGTTCAAAATCATCATTTTGTGCTCAATTACTCACTGTTTTAGTATATACTAAAACAATTATTCACCTCAGTGTCGGTGGCTAGTATTGGATATTTACCTCGCCGCTTCGCGGCCTCGGTAAATATGCAATACTAGCCACTTCCACTTAGGTGAATAATTGTTATATATCCCTAATTTGATCGTAAGTGTGTGAGCTTTGTTACTGTTATAATCTGCTTGTGTAAACTGCTTTGATATTTTGTGTCCGTAATTGTATAATTTTGTTAATTTATTTTACGGGCCGTGTTGCGGGATGGCCATCTTTTTCACGGGACCGGCAAGGTCATCAAAACTTGAATACGTTTTGTTTCTTTAAAATAGGCAAGGTGTAGTCTCCAGAATACGAGGTTCCATTCACAGATCACACATTTTATATCGCATCATTCTATCCTTTCGCTAATTAAACCGAACTAACTTCATATCAATCATTTCGAGTGTGGGCCTTTGTTGATTTCCTAATTCTCCACCAAATTCAGTAAAGCTAGTCTGATCGATTATCTACATCGATTGACCCTTTTAACAGAAATGATGCGAAATAGCTTTGAAATAATACGCGCTTAAGCTAATTTTCCTCAAATGTATATTTGAATTAATGATACAGCTCCACCAGCTTCAAACAGCGTTTATGCCAGAGATGTAACAAAATATATCTATCAAAACATGTGTGTCACTGTAGTGCAGTGGTCAACGAGCTGCTTGCACGTGCAGATTAACCGGCTTCGAATCCCGGTACCGCTGTTTTCTGTTTCCTTGTATCGTTTTTTCTGTTTGGTCGTTGTTTCTTGATCCTATTTTTCCTTTTGGCCTGTTTTCCTTTATTCTTACTGCTGACCATGCTGATCATGCATGTGGATCAACATATATGTTAAGCTTATTTTCCGAGTTTTATATTGGAAAAGGGATTTGAAGAGCTCTTGATCTGCGTACTGGCTAGGCTTACGGCCAGAAAAAACCATGAGCTGTCAAGACATGTACCTCCTCTGAAACAGCTGGATGTTAGTTGACATCATGACCAACAACACACAGGACACCACAAACTGTACTAATTTACATCAACACCCACTTGCGAAAGTTAAACTTGCTTTTTGTACATCGTCTTAAAAGAGCTGAAAATACGCGCAAGGTAAAGTATAGTGTATCCTTTGATGAACCTCCTACTGATGTGTCGAAATTGCTCAATCTTGGTGTGCACTGGCCCTCAAAAGGTTGACCGGTCGGTATGATTGCCCGTAAAATTTGCTCAGCGATAGAAAGGAATCTTTAAAATTCATTACACCACTGGACGTTTCATTCCAAAAAAGAACCAAAGTCTAGTTTTTTCTATGTCAATAGGGATCTTAAAATCTCTAAATCTAAGAAAACGGAACAGTATTTCCATGATAAATTCGAAATTTTTGTCCGTCTCTTTGATGAACACTTTGCTCACCATTTTGAAAGTCACTGACGCGACAAGTGACGTCATACTGGCAGGCGGACTGAACCACCGATTTCCTTGGAGACACCTCCCCCCCTGGAACTCCCACATTTTTTTTCGACCTATGAGTATTAAAAATGCAGCAAAGTTTCTTGTCAGTGCAACCTTATTAAAACACACACACAAAAAACTTTTTCGAGCCCGTAAGATTATGGCGAGCAAGAGCCACCTACAATATGAGATAGATGTAAAGCCGGATGAAACACCTTTCATCGTATTTTTAGTCTCGCTTGTGTAAGCAGCGAGACTTGTAATCTGCAAGCCGTTTTTCCTCGTATTTAGGACACAAAAGGGCTGTTTGGGTCCTAGGCGTTCCTAGCAGAGACCGTGGAAACTGAGAATAAGAATCGTTTTGCGAAGAACGCTTAGGAAAGATTAATAAATGCGATTTAGAGCTTTTTCGGAACGGGTCGGTCCACGAATTCTCTCCCTTGAAAGAGTTGATAACTTTGGAACAAGTAAACACTTCAGTGGTCGAACAAAGAAAAAGAAGAATCTTAATTAGCAAAGGCTAACTGGCCAGGTGTTGTAAACTTTTGTTGCATGCAAATGAGTCTCATGATGAGCATGCGGTTTATTTTCGGCGGTGATAGAAATGACTTGCCATGTCCTCATCACGTTTTTGATCTCTGGCAATGATGTAATTTGTCTCGAATCGAGGCCCTTGAATTTTCGTGTAATTATAAACGCGTATAGTCCCAGACGTATCTCCGGTCGTCGCTAACACGTGTACTTAATCAATTCAGAAACAAATCGTCGAATACGATATCAAAACTAAATATCCTGAACAACACTCGACCGTCGATAAAGTAGGAAGTGAAAAACCTTTGGCGAGTATATCCTGTTTCGTCTAGAATTAATCGCCTCCTCATTTCTTATCTAATCTCCAAGCAAGCGAGATTTAACGCCGATATTAGGAGCGTTGTTGTTGGTAAAACTTTGATTTTTAAGGAAATAGATTGGGAATTATTGTGGAAATCAGGTATAATTGTTAACTTGAAAAGACAGCAGGGCCAGGTCTCTGGCTAAAAATGTTATTCAAAAAAATACAAGCTTTCGATCACCTGAATTACGTCTTCAAAGGGCGAAAATGAAAATAAGAAAATTATAAAATGTAGTTTAATAAAAGTACAAAAGAATGAAAAATTAAGAAAGAGTTCATTGAGAATTTTTGTTAACAAAAATTTTATAAGTAAAAGGGCTACATGCTTAAACATTATGAAATAATTGGATTCAAACAAGAGAGAATGATCTGAGAGAGCGAATCCCCCATACATGACCCTCTTCCCATGAAAATTATTTTCAATCTATTCTTGGTTCTGTGTCATACTGGGTGGTTATTATTTTAAGGACGCCACCTTATTGGTCGGTTAGAGTGCAAGATACGTGCCAGGAACAATATCACTGTTGGCACCTGGAACGTGAGAACCTTGCGAATGGTAGGTAAATCGGAAGAATCGTCATATGAGATGAGCAGGTACCGCTGGAACATCTTAGGTCTCTGCCAGGTACGATGGAAAAACTGGCGAGACATCCACTGAGGAGGGTCATAATTTATACTTCAGTGGCAAGGAGGACAAACACGAACACGGCGTTGGATTTCTTGTACACAAGGACATCATGAACTCTGTCATGGGCTGCCGTCCAGTCTCAAGCAGGCTTGTGGTTATCCGCCTGAGGGCAAGTCCATTTAACATCACAATAATACAGGCCTACGCCCTTACCTCGGACTATGATGATGATGCAGTTGAGGACTTCTATGACCACCTCCAGGAAATCTTGGACCAGTCCCCTAAGAAGGACATCCTTGTTGTGTTAGGCGACTGGAACGCCAAAGTAGGAGAGGATGCATTCAAGAATTGGAAAGGCACTTGTGGACGCTGCTGCAACCCAGAGACAAACGAGAGAGGTTTAAGGCTCCTGGAGTTTGCTTGCTACAACGATCTTGTGTTGGCGAATGCACTTGGCAAACACAAAGCATCCAGAAGACGGACATGGCACAGCCCAAATGGAGGATACCAAGACCAGATTGATTATATCATGGTTAGGAGGCGCTTCATGACCAGTGTAAACACCGCTAAGACAAGAAGCTTCCCAGGAGTTGACATAAGAAGCGACCATAATTAGGTGATGATGTCTTTTCGGCTACGTTTAAAGAAGATAAAAATGCAGGCCCCACAAGGATTAAGTTCGATCTTAAGAAGCTCAAAGACCCTCAAGTTTCAGATGCCTTCCAAGCAGTGATTGGTGGTAAATTTGCACCACACCACTCAACTAGCTCAATGCATATGACACAGAAGTGGACACACTCGTGAACTCCTTCAATAAAGCATTTACTGAATGAGCTAGTGAAATCGTAGGCAAACGCAGAGCAGTCAAAAGACCGTGGTTCACAGCTAGCCTACTGGATCTATACGACGAACGAAGAGCACTGAAGAAGGGGAGAGACGAGACAGCAGAAGGGACCAGAAAGTGCAGAGCAATTAACCGGGAAATTAAGAAGAGCATAAAAAGGCAAAAGAGTCTTGGATTGATATTCAGTGGCAAGATATTGAAGATAATATCAGGAGGAACGATAGCAAGAAAGCATATCAGCTAGTTAAAACTCTAACTAGCACAAAACAAGGAAAAACCAACACCATACAGGACAAAGACGGGAATTGCCTCACTGAAACCAACGACATTCTAAAACAGGTGGACAGAATACTGTGTGAAATTGTACAGCCACACAGTCGTAGGTGATCCTGAGGTGTTGACTGTCCTACTAGTTACCGACACTGAAAACTACCCAATCCTGCGGGAAGAGGTCGAAGCAGCTGTAAAATCGCTCAAGAAGGGAAAATCTCCAGGGATAGACAATACCCCGGGAGAGCTGGTACAGGCAGGAGGAGATGCTGTGATAAGTGCCTTGCATAAAATCTGCAATAAGATTTGGCAAACAGGAGAGTGGCCCATACCATGGACCCAGTCTCTTATCATCAACCTTCAACAGTGTAAGAACTACCCCACAGTCAGCCTTATATGCCACCCAAGTAAAGTCCTGCTGAAGCTGCTGTTAAATAGGCTGAAGCCTCAGGCAGAATCAATGATCGCAGAAGAACAGGCAGGTTTCCGATCAGGTCGCAGTACTACAGAACAGATCTTCAATCTCAGGATACTGTGCGAGAGTTACCTCCGACATCAACAAGACCTCTACCACGTCTTTATTGATTTTAAAAAGGCGTTCGACAGAGAATGGCATAAATCCCTTTGGTCTACTATGAGGCTTTATAACATCAACGCCAAACTGATCCAAGTCATTGAAAACCTCTACAAAAAGGCCACTAGTGCAGTCTACCTTAATGGTGACATAGGAGACTGGTTCAGAACCACAGTCGGAGTCAGACAAGGGTGTCTACTCTCACTAAATCTTTTCAACATCTTTCTGGAGAGAATTATGACTGACGCACTAGAAGATCACCAAGGAACAGTCAGCATCGGAGGCAGAACAATTACCAACTTACGTTTTGCTAATGACATTGACGGCCTGGCAGGAAAAGAGGAGGAACTAGCCTCCCTGGTGGATCGCCTGGATAAGACCTCTGCAGCCTTTGGCATGGAAATCAGTGCAGAGAAGACCAAACTGATGACCAAATAACGCGAATGGTATCAGCATTGACATGAGAATCAACGGTGAAAAATTGGACGAGGTTGACAGCTTCAAGTATCTGGGCGCAGTCGTCACAGATCAGGGTTCCAAGCCTGAAGTACTGTCCAGAATTGCACAGACAACAGCAGCACTTGCGAGACTCTTCCGGCGACATCCACGCACACCCGCGAGCTGTGCTACCGTCGATTGGATCCAATCGTGGACACGTAACGAGAAAATAGGTTCAACGTGAGTTCAAACATGAATGTTCAGCCTCCAAACATTTGAATTTTGAGAGGGCGCTAGACAAATGTGGGCACACTGCTCACTACAAAGAATTGACCGAAACCGGAAACCGCGCATCAAAAGTCTCTGGCACCCAGGTTAGCGACTGTTTAACGGCTTGAAGCCTCTGACCTGATTTATGTTAGCACAGCGAAATATTCATCGCAAGTATTAGACGTTAAAAGGAAGTAATGCAATTTGAAACTCTCAAGAATAATTCTTTAACGCAAATGCACTGTTTCTGAGGGAAAAGTATTCCTGGAAAAAGAGAAAAAATATCTTGCACATTTGCATAAACAATTAAAGCCAGCCACTTATTAAAGGTTTCGTATTTCGCGCGTGATAATCTTTGCCTTTGGCTTTTACAGTGTGTCAGAATTCAATATTCGTTCCTTTAAATGGGGCTACCAGTCGTTAGAAAATCTCAATCTTAAACCTCAAAGTTGAAGTTTGACTCCAATACTGCAATCCTATTGTAAATGAAATTCATTCCTAAATTATGAGCGGAAAGCGCTGATCAAAAACATGTCAACAACACGTGCCGATAAGTATCGGCTCCTGGCTCTAAATAATGGCTGTCAAACTTCAAATTTTTGGCGGCGAAACATGTACCGTTCACGTGAAAGTAGACAACGCAGGTCACGCAACCAACAGACAAAAACCTTCGCAGCACGCGCGCGAACTTTAAATAGATAGAAAAAAATTATCATCGGGCACAGGGATTCGCTCTCTTAGCTAATTCTCTCTTAATTCAAAACATTCCTTTGACAACGACGAGCCCGTTTTGACCCTCGTCGGATTATTTTGTTTACGTACTCCTACTATCACACACACAGTTGAACCTCTCCACAACAAGTGGCCGTTGTAGAGGGGTTGAAGCAAGTCAATTTATGGACTGAGGTTAAACAAAAAAAAACGCCTTTAGTAAAGTGAAAAGGATAGCCAATCAATCAAGCTGCTTAGAAAGCCATGATTGTGATATGATTGTTTGTTTTCTCGCGCTGCTTTTATTTGCAATGTTTAAAAATGTTAGTCTAACCTGAAGAAATTCGGGTGGAAAACCAAGGTGCTGCTTAATAATTTTCACGGGGACAAAATCCTCCTCCAGTAATCCACCAAAATTTCTTTTAATTGCATCTTCAAGCTCTTGCCAGTTTGGAGAACGTCTCTGTTTCTTTGCAATGTGGAAGACCATCTTCACAAGGCTAAAAATATAAAAGACAAAAATATTTAATAAATGTTTACAATAACAACCAAAATGATTATCAACGAGGTATAGAAATAAAATCTCCCCTTAGAGTCAGGTGGGTTTCGGGGAAAATCCTTACTTACACTGTTTAAGGCATAACAAAACAGTTTGTTTGACTACTGGCGGATCACGATCAAAACAGACAGACCACAATCTTTACAAACTTGATCAGCATCAATAAGATATTTAACTAAAGCTTAACAACACACCTGTAGAAGTCTCTAAGACCGAAAAACTCGTCTTTCTTTCCATGCTGCAATCTTGCTATGTTTTTCTGTCTTTGGTAGAGGTCACTGTAGGCGGTGACTAAAGGAGGTATCAAATCCTCCAACCACGGCATAATTTCGGAATCACTACCACAAATCCCTCTACAAAGTTAAAAAACAATACATAAAATAATAATGCTGTGAACATCCCCAAAATCATCATGAGATATTGCTAAAAACTAAAAACCTGACTGAAATCGGGCAATGTTTGAAAGACAATATTGGTGTACTTTTTGGCTTTGTTATCTTACTCCTGGAAAAAATATTTTTGTCTTTAAAGTGATCCCTGGGCCCAGTTGTTCGAAGGCCGATTAGCGCTTAACCAGGGTTTCTTTTTCTTGTATTCAAAAGCATTTTCTTGGATAATTTTCTCTGTTATTTTTAGAGCTTCCAATCATCAACTTATAGACGAAAAGAATTCAAACTGAAACGCTTTTTAAGCTTTCAAATCTGAATTCAAATCTCGCACTAACCCTGGGTTATCTTAACGCAGCTTTGAACAACTCGGCCCAGATCTTTAACTGTCTGCTTCATTCGTTCATGTCAATCAAACACATATTAGGTCGGGTCTTATATCTCCGCTTCAGATGTCCATTTCGTAAACGGTCGTTAAGATACTTAGAAAAGTTTTGACCCGTTATTGAAAGCGTTTCTATTAAAAATAAAGAAAGTCGCAACCCAGGGTCGAACATGGGCCTCCAACTCGGACCTTTCGTATCCTAGTCTTTCTCCCTTACCACTACACTACCACACCGACCCGCCAAAATTCCGAAAAAATTATGTACATACAATAGCAAACTGTCTCTCTTAAAATGTTATATTAATAACAGGTGACCCTAGCCCTTTCCGTAATTTTTAGCGTAAATTCAACTTGGGCTTCAACTTCGGTCTTTCTAAGACTATTCAAAAACGTGCCTTATTGCAACTTAATCCAGGGAATATATTACATCCATCATGACTAAAGGCTTGGTTACCAATGGTGGCATCGACCGTTAAAATGGCAACGACCGTTTACGAAGGGGAAATAGGCATCTCCGCTTCTTTGCTTCATTCACTGTGGACCTTATACTCATCATCCACAAAAGATCCCTAACACCTTTAAAAAGGTTATTGCTCATGTACCAATGTGGTTCTTTTCAGAACACACTTCCTCCCTTCTAACGCATTACCTCTTTTTATCTCATAGTAATCTTTTTACACAGAAGAATACCTGGCAGTTTCTTCAAGTTCATCTTCACAAGGTTCACCACGAGACAGCATAATTCCTCGGTTCATCTTGGCAGGGTCCAATGCCCAGTTTGATAGGCCAATGAAAGCAACGCGAGAAAAACTTTCTTCAGTTTCAATGACGTCATCATTAGTTTTATCGCTGTCCTCCAATAGAGGATGTAGCGTCTTGAGGGGCATTTTTGGAGAATCCTCTGCAAGTCCTACCTCATCGAGCACTACCACGGAGGCAAACTTGTCGGAAAATGTCTCTGCCCGTTTGCGGTCTTGAAGTTCGCTGCATTGTTGGAAGGTTGCCATTATACCTTCAGGGGTAGACTGAGGACTGCACTGATACGAAATCAGCTGAATCTGTTTTCAACGACGGAAACACAAATCAGTCCTCGTGTGGTTCACCATGCTAGTAACTGCAGTTAGTTTTGTGTCTAGTGCTTTTTCAACTTTTGATTGGGACGAGTAAGGAAACACCTGTCAGAACGCCTTAAAATCACTGCAGTAAACGTACAAAGTTTGAAAGTGATTTGTTAAAAATTAACGAAGATATAACTTTGCAAAAAGTTTACAAAAGGGGCAAGTTCGTGCTCCCCCTAAAATAACCCCAGTAAAGATTAGCGACCTTGTGAAGTAACATCTTCTTTGCTTTGGACGTATCACCTCAATACTTCGTACGTTGACTAGTTTTAAGAAGCTCTTTCCGGTGGAGACGATGACAATTCGCCTAGTGGCCCTAGTTGTTCAAACGTTGGATTACGCTATCCACTGGATAAATCGCCGTTCCAGCCGATGAGTAGTGCGAAGATCAATTGCATTATCCACTGGATAGATTTTTATCCGGTGGATAGCCCTATCCAGCTTTTGAATAACTGGGGCCTGGTCTCTATCAAACCGTGGAGGGTCTGTTATGTTTATATACTGTAGTATACTCGGTTGTATTATACCTAATTGAATGAAACTGTGAAGACTAACAAATCTGGCAGGACTACCAAATTTCTGACTCACCTGTTTAAAATTTTTAAAGAGCTCTGATGTTGATTGTTCACCTTGCATGTTATCAGCCACAACAGTCTTTGCTAAAGATTTGGAACTGCCTGGTTTACCAACTACAAACAGTGGAATTCTCAGTTCAATGCACACCAACATCATGAACACGTTCTCGCTTAATGCTGTGTTGCGGGCAATGTTAGGGCCAAGCTTGAGTTTCTTCATTACAGCTTGTTGACAGCTTTACAAAGGAAAATATTGTCAAAATGAGCTATCAAGTCATATGGGAGCTTGCCACTATATGTGTCCAATCGAATACCCTGAGTGCCAGACGTTTTCTTTTTTCTCTTTTCTTTTTGACGACGTGATTGAGCAGCACTTCAGTAATTCGCTGTTTACGCCTCTTAACTCGCCGCTTGTAAGCGAGATCTCTGGCATTCACGGTAGGATTAGCAATCACACTACATGAAAGAGAGGACATGAAATTCAAGTCTGCTTTTACTCTCAGTCAATTAATCACTAATTATATTTATTCAAAAGCAGACGTATCGAGCTCCACCCTCCTTTAGAGCGAATGACCTGAGAAATTTTGGTATGTGCTAGGGGTTTACTCAGTACATCGAATATCATTGATGGGAACAATTGGTAACACAGAAAATGGGAATAAATTAATTCTATCCCTGAAACTTTCACCAGTTATTCCGACGACTTGGTAAAACGACTTTGCCAAAACTTCATTTCATCTAGTTTAACTGGCCTATCCGTTGGTAAATTGAGTTCAGTCCGACATCATGAGTTTTTTACATTTCTTAATCTTAAACTGATAAAATTTAGGAAGACGAAGTAAAAACTAAGGTGGTACCTTATCTCATGTAAATTACAGTGAAGACGTTGCCACAGTCAAGAGGAACTTGAAAAAATTCTTCGGGCTTTTGATTTTCTTCGAGTAGTTTAGAAATAGGTAAGTAAACTGCGTTGTTAATTGCAACTGAAAGTTTTACAACAGCTTTCAGCAATCTAAAGTTGTTATTTTGTGAGTAAGCTGAGCTTAAACAAACAATGCTACCATGAAAATAAAGTCAGTCTGAGCGTCAAGGTACTGAAAAACCTAACCGAGTGATCTCTGTCTCTATTCTGTCTGGGCCGCCAGGAAGCCTGCATGGAGGACTGAATACTTTTGCCACTTCCTGTCGATATTCGTCTCGGTTTTGTAACCGCGCTTGGTAACAAACTCCAAGAGCCAGAATTAGTGACCAAGTGATTGGGTCGAGGTCATCTCCAAGTGTCTCCTGGGGTTGTAATAAATAAGAAAATGAGACGCATGCATAACCATGGCTATTCGCTGCAAAAACAACCAAAATCTTTCCCCATACTCCAGAGAACAATATCCACACAATATAATGTGAGATACTCATCGAGGAAGCAGGCATGAACCCATTTCTAATATTGAAAATCCGATACTATTACTACTTCTTAAACAAGGTGGTTTGAGCAATGTACCAGGCTAATGGCTGTGCATGCAAAGGGAAGGACGATGTAACTTGGACAAGTGAACGATCTCGCACTGGCCTTCGCGCTTATGCGTGTCTCGCGATTCGCTAAGGGCTTAAGTTATGTTATTTTTTATTCCTTTTTATTATTTCCAATTTGCGAATGACTTGGGCTATTTCCTCGTGGTGTACTTTAAATAGGACCCCAACCCACTTGCACTAGTGCAATGCAACGTTAACCGGTTTTATCACCTCAGTGAAATTCGCCGAATCACCCATTTCTTCCACAGGCAGCGAGACACCAGATTCGGAATGTCTTTCTTCTGACGCGGATGTTCCATTTACAAACAATAATTCGTCGTCAGGAAATGGGATACGGGAATCAGAAAGCTTTTCTTGAGGCACGTGCATTTCATCAAAAAGCTCTACTTTTTTCCTAAAGGAATGGACATTTGAAGTTTCTTCTTTATCGTCCTCGTCTTGTTCACTCTCTCTTCTTTCTATACTTTCCTGTTCTTCGCTTTGCAGTAAAGGCGCAAAATATTTGTAGTGTTTATGAAACCAGACCATGACCTCCATAGCTCGTTTCACATCTCTAAGGCTGACGAAACTGCATTCATCCTATAATGAAGACACAAATGTGAAAATGAAAATAAAATTAAGCTAGTAGTAGTTGACACTACAGCTGCCCCCACTATGTACATTGTCGGTCAATAGTATTCTTGCTCGTTGTGTAGCTCTTTGAAATATACCGATTCATAATGAAGATTTTTACACATATTCCATACATACAACAAGTGAGATAAATACAGGAAACGCAAGGTTCCATGCACAGTTTCATTTCCAGTTACACAGCTTTGATCAAAAAATTCTTAGTTTCGAGAATAGTTTATTCTAAACAATAAGAAAAGATTTAATTAGAAGTTTAATTTTTCGCTATTTCTCTTTCACTTTTTACATTCAGTTCATTTTATTTGCCGGAAAGTAAGCCTTAGAAATTAAAAGGACGTTTGATTAATTCACGCTCGCGCATTCTAGCTTAGTCTTATTTTAAACTTTATAGCGGAAGCACATCTGAGCAGGGAATAAGTCAGCACAGAATTTGGTTGTCGGCTAAGTTTTGTAATCGTCCATCGTTCTGCTAGTGATAAGCTAGACGTTGTTCACTCGTCTTGCTTGTTTGGGGCTGAGTCTTATTCCGGTCAAAGACAGAGTGTCTGGCAAGGTTTCCAATCAAAGACTTGTGAACTCGTGTCTGACAAACTCTCGAAGTGTTTATATAGGCACAGTTATGCGCACCTTATAACTTCATCTGCGCTTAACGAGTGTCTTTTGGTCCATAACTTGCAAAACAACGACTCCACAGAATGTCACTGATAACACGTAACACAAAAGAGTATCGAAGTATGACTGAGTGTCACAAAATCTACCTATTCCCTTCGGGATTTTCTGTCTTTACGTCATCCTAACCATTTCGCACTTGCGAGCGCAAACAATAGAAACGTCATCATTACCTACCGATTCCTCGCGGCCCCTGTTCAAGCAAATCGAGTTTTTTCCTGACATACTGACTGTATATTTCAACTGTAAGTACTTTCCTTAATAATTATAAGCGCGAGTTACTAGAGTGCCTCCGGGATTTCGCCTTCTGGGTGAAATCCCTGCGGGGGCAATTAAAAGGACACTGAAATAAGGAAGAAATCAATTTTTTCAAAGTTTTCGATCAGTCAATGCAACGATAAGACAGGTACCACAGGAATAACATGCATAGTCTCTAACGTTCGCTTATACGAACGAACAAATTCTAATGTTACATTTTAAAAAGGTTTGCTCCACCTTTCTCTTTCCCATGAACTGCTGTGACACTGACAAGATCCTTGCTATAGTTTCGACCAAATCGTCGTCTCCCTGAAAGTGCTGTTCCTCTAGTACCTGTAGAAACGTAATTCAAATAAATTTAGAAACTGTTGATGTCATGCATTTTATGATGTTGATTGTAATGTGCAATCTCATCGATAGCCACTATTTTCACCATTAATCATAACAATAACAAAATTGTCAAATCTGATTGGCTCTCAACTGCCCTGATTTCAGCCTTAATTGGACAGTTTAATAGGACAGTACTCGTCATGCTTAAGTAATTGGACAGTACGCGCCATCACGTGCGCGCTTAAATGGCTTTTTTTTCACTGCTAGCAAAACAAAATTTCGATTTTCTTGTGTTTTGGTTTAAAAAATAGCCTATTGTATCACAAATTTTGTTAAAGTTATGATTAATTGGTAACAGAACTTCGTGTCGTCCAATTCAGTCTGTAATCATACTCGTGATTAAACAAATCGGACTCCCGCTACGCGGTCGTCCGATTTTGTTAATCATTCGTATGATTACAGACCGAATTGGACTCCACTCAGTCCTGTTACCATTACTTATCGTGTACTTACATAACGTTTTACAATCTGACAAATGTACTTCTCTTCCACGTCTGGCTGTAAGCGCCCAAAATCCCAGACAAGACTTCGCATGCTCTCTGGCAGTGCGTGAACTCGATACACCAGCTGACGCAAGGGAATTTCACCTTTTAGTGTTTAAAATGTAAGAGAAGTCAATGTGATCCTCTAGTTTTTTACAGCTCATCGCCTGCTACGCATAATAATGCCAAATCAAAGGTGGCGAAAGGGTTTTGTAAGATATAACGGTCCAGTTTTCTTACATCATTTGCAGGATGGGTCAATTTTAAATCACTTCACCAAACGATTTAAGCCCAAACAAACTAATAGGCCCTAGGTTTCAGAGTTTCAGAAACATTCATAGTTTTTGAAAATAATGATAGAAAAAAGGACACACACTTTAAGAAGAGGCAGGGTGCCCTCGTTTTATTCCACTGTCCTGTACATTAAAAAGCTATTAATCGTGTTAAATAAGAAAAAAAGATCGAGATAGAACACTGAACATTTTCTAGCCTAAAATGCTCTAACATCATCAGCATCATCGCAAACAAATGATCAACCTTACCAATACGTTCTGTTGTTTCATCAGCTCTAACGCGATATCCCAGTCCTGCTGACTCCAGTTTCTTTATCATTTCATCGGTATGCCTAGTATTAGAAGAGGTGTTTATAATTTTAACTAAAACGTTTACTCCTGTTTTATAACAGGCTTAAAACTAAGGCTAATAACAAACCCAAATTGCTGTAGCTTATTTAACATTATGAGGTAAACATTTTGAAGGCAAGTCTACGCTGGCTTTAATTTAAGGCGGTTACCATTACTAAGCATTCACCAAGACCCAATATAGAGCAATGATACTTCCCTTTATGCACGTATATGTATTCTGTAAATATACAAGCGGAAAACTCACTTTCGATATGGGTTGCAAGCAACAATGAATTTCAGACGGTTACTCTTCAAAGAAAGTGGACGCCCATTGCATCTCCGATCGATCATGATTTCCTTGATCATACCCAAAGCTTCAGTGGTGTTAGCCTCGTCAAAAAACAAAACGGTGTCAAAGCCAAGTTGTGCGTTGCGTACGGCCATCTCCTCTGCGTGAACAACATTTCTCTCTATGTCTTTAAAAGTTGTCCCACCATGAATCTTTAAAAAAGAATATTTCAAACATCCGTCAGAACGATATATTGCATACAAAGCCTATCATATAGAGGGATTTTAACTTTCAATATCTTTAACAAAACGTCGAATAGGGCGACTATGTAAGGACAAGACGCACTCTGCTTCATGATTCTTGCACCGGTCGTTGCAAGCGGTACAGGTGATTCACAGGTTACGACGTAAGTCGTTAAGTAAAGAAAGTATAAAAACTGCCACACTAAGTTTTATTATCCACGGACCAATTAGATAGCGAAACTTAACCTCATAACGTGGGTCTGTGACAGGATTCGAGTGCATTTTCTCCCAGACACCGTACTGGCGCTCCAGCTATTGTGAAACTATCGGATTTATCCTCACTCTTCTGTTATTCCTTAAACGGGGAATATCTAACAGATAAACTCTTTTCCAGTGTCTACAAGCTTAAAGACAATTGCAGGGACTAATCCGGTAACGAGTGAGTAACTTCTTAGTTATTGTTAAAGTCCATGTTCACATTCCTTCACCGGTCATAATACATTCATGACCTCTTTCACAAAGGTATCAAATATCAAAGGTGCCAAAGCTTTCCAAATTTCCCACCGACGTTTATCACCAAACAAGCGCATTCTAAATTGTTAACATAGCAATATTCAGCAGGAAGCATTTCAAACAACACCCGAAAAATGGCTTAGGTCCACATGATTTTCCCTCTAGTGTAAGTCAGTGCTTGGAGTGTAAGAATGGTTCTGAATAACATCCGGGTGAGCTGTTCTTTGTCCCACAATCCTGTCGTCTTTTATTCACATTAATGCTAATTTCTTAGTTTCTTTTGCGCTTAAGTTTATTTCCTAGTTAGAGTATAATCTATTACCTTCATCAACAGCAGGTTTTTGCATTTCATCCCACCTGTCTGAAGACCACACATGTAACGAATAAGGCGTGTCTTTCCACAACCTGTTTCGCCCATGATGATTACAGGGATGTCACATCTGAATCTCATGTGTATGGCAAGAATTTTCTTAGCGTTGTCTCCAGTCAGCTCATAAGATTTATCAGGATCAATCATCCCCCACTCTAGACCCATGACCTTACACAACGTTTCCATTATTTCACGTCTAGAAACAAACAGTTAGCGGTCAAGTCATATCTGCAAACAAGAACCCGTTGCAAACAGGGTATGCGAACCGTTTTTGCTGACTGGGTTTAAATACTTTGTCAGTATCCTATTTTCTTGATAATAAGATTTCTTGCAAGCTGGGATCGGGTGCACCATAAGGTCAGTTATACGATACACTTTATTTCGTTAGCGATTGTAGCGTTGTTAATAGAAAGGAAAAGAAATTATTACTTTTAGACCACTAATGCATACCTCAATAGTCAATGCCTCTTAATTACTTCACTGATGCAAAAACCGGAGGGATCATGCAAGTCATTGTTTTTGGAAATATCCATATAATTGAGAATCGTGTGCCTGGGCCGTCACATACTTACTTATTCTTGCTCTCAAAGTCGTGGTTCAGGTCCACTTTTTGAACATGAAGTCCCGTGCGAAGACGTCGTGGCATTAAACGTTTTTGAACAATTTCTCCAGTTTGAGGGTCCAAGAACTCAGCATTTCCATCTTCATCAACTTTGAATCCAAGAAAAGAAAGCGTCTCATGATCCGGATTGAAAAAAAGATACGGATGAGTACTGCAAACAAAATAAGAATGAATTTCAGTGGTAGGCGTCTTCAGTAATAAATATCTTTCACAGCGTTATTTCAATAATCAAAAAAGTACTTTCGTTCACCTCCGGAAATGGGATTTTTCTTACAACAGTTAATAGAAGACGTAGTAGTACCTTTGTTCCCAGGACCGTCGTAGCTGCAGCGGACGAATGTCACTTTCATCATCTGTCTGCTGCATGCCTGTTTCATCTGTTTCTTTTAATGACCGCATGGAAAAATCCTAGCAGAACAAGAAAAGATGCCCTTTGAGGGTGAACCCTGAGTAGTTGCCATGCTAGGGATTGGGATAGGAGAATACAAATCGCATGGGATTTAATAGTTAATTGAACGCTTTTCTATCATTAGCCTGTGTGCCAGTCTTTTGATATTAAAGTATATTGAGTTAAGCGATCCCCCTGTCCCCTCTGATCTCCGTACACTTAACTCAAAGCCATTTACTTCTGTTTTTTTTTTCTTATTTGTTTACTAATTCTTTTGCTGAGAACGATGTTTATTCAGTCAGTGACACAGGAAGCTATGCGAGTACTACCAATAAGAGTCGAAGCTATGACGTTCTGCTTAACTAATCCAGACGTTCTACGACTGGGCTTCAGGAGACTTGTGGGAGCTAAGGCCACTAAACTAGGGTCATGCATACTGCTAGCTCCTCCAAGTCTCCTGTAGCTTCCTTGTGGAGCATCTGGACAAGTAACTAGAAGGTCATAGGCCGAGTAGGTTAATTCATAGTTAAAGTGGGATGGTTTGGAAACCCGCCGTTAGACTCCTTTGTTATATGGCCTTGTACAGCATTCAATAGTAGTCCTTTCATTTTGAACTTACTGACTAACAGAAACTTTGCATTAATTAATTCAGTCACAATATGTGACAAATAACAGGGTTGTGCACGATCAGGGAGCTTCCAACATAAACTAGCCTGCGTAGCTAGCGGTATTATCTCGGTGCGCGATAAAAAGTTTTTTGGCTTCGCCGCCAAATCTCATTTTACTGCTACACAATATCGCCAGCTACACAGGCTACATAAACTACAGCAATGCTGTTTTCAACTTTGATGTTTGCCGGCATTCCTGACCAGTCTCCTCTACTACATTGCAACTACGGTTAACTCGACTCCTATTGTAAAGCACATTACAATTACTCTCACCTTTGACATAATAATCATAAATCTCACTACAAAAATTCGAAAACCTTCCAAAGTGTCCTCAGTAAATTCTGGTTTACAGTACACACTTTTCTCGCAGTCCAGAAGTTGGTGATTAAGAAAGTTAACAAATTGCCGCAGCTCGAACCATGATGGGTTATGAACGCCACAATTCCTATGGACAGCAAGAGATAAAACGTCAAAATGATTATAATGAATGTCTTGAGACCGAATAAACAGGCATTTTAGGGGTACATGTTACACAGTGGCATGAGAGAGCTACAAAATGCCCTGGGGTCATTCTAAGGATACTAAATCATTCGGTTATTTGTTAAACGCAAGAGTCAAGGGCGATTCTGTCCTGGTATAAAAATTTAGGAAAAGATGAAGTCTACTAACGAAAACAAAAAAATGTGCAGAATAATTAATTCATAATAAAAAGTGTTGGCATTTTTACCATTCAGCCCTCATAACTTATTAAACAAAAGATTTTGTGTGAATAAGCAGGTCGCGAAAAAATTACGTAAAAATCATAACAACCTTATTAACTCCTCTAAACATTCCATTGGATTGCCTTCCGTTCTTTGAGGAACAAATTCAAAGTCCTTTATTTTACCAGGATCCTCATTAAATCGTCTAAGATACTGCCACACGCGCTGAATTGCCTCACTCCTAAACTCTTCATCATCAAAGAGAGGACTTTCATTTGGTACTAAACATAATACAAAAGACATGTCATTTACTGAGCCTTAAAGAAGTATTATTTGTTAACAGAAAACAACAATAGTTAGAGGGTCTTGATGGTGTGGTAGCTTTGACGGTTAACGGTTATTTTTTTCAATTGCTTTTTTACATTGTTTGCCTTTCGCAAAAAATGGTTTTGTTTGTCTTTCTTCATAATTTATCTTTCATTCATGTATGTGCCAAAGCGACTTTCTGGAAAAATCCTAACAAAAAGCTAGAATGGAGTTTACTTTCCACCATCTCGAACAAACTCGTGTTAGTGGTAAATCAATTGGAAACAGTGTTTTGAATACTTTTTCACCTCTTAAATCTTTACGGTCAAGTCGTCTCAATAAATCTCTTAAGCAATACAGTTACTCAAGTCATGTTGTATCTGCCTTATATCCCACATCGCTTATCTATCATAAGGGAGTGGAGCTCCTTAGCCCGAGATAGCAAGCCTATACGTTTTCACAAAGCTTCAGAGGCCATTGATGCAAATATACATTAAGGCCTAGGCCAAACTTCGAACGTTTCATGAGATGAGCCAAAGTAGTGATTTAAGTTCATGAAAAGTTCGACGTCTGGCTCAATTTGGTCCCCCTCCCATCTTATTTACAAACCCTTAATTCTGTGGTAAAAAAAGTATCGGATAAACTTCAAAAACTACAACTGAAATCGTGCAGCCCGGGTCCTGACCTTCTCAAATTATGATGCTGACGCATCACAACTGCTGGATAACCTAAACTAGAAAAATCCTAGTACGCAGCATGACATTCAAAAAGCCTTAATGATTTCCAAATCTCTGAATGGCCTTGCTCCTGAGTATTGTTCCAGATTTACTAGTCGATCTGAAACAAATCCTTATACTTTAACGATGACGGAATGTATTTACGATTTAGATTCAAATGTAAATTTTGACTTGTAACTAACTTATAAGTAACTAGGTGTAAATAGATTCACTCTTTTGTCTTGTACCTGAATGAATTTTACCGTGGATAAAGATTTTTAAAAGTTCGTCTGAATGAGTTTGGATCGTCCAACACGTTCTATCCTTCTGCTTCAGACTGGCAGAACATCTGAAGTTTGTCTCCGGGACAAACATTGATCTTCACATGCGACGAATTTAACTAATAAATTCAAGTTTTGTACGATAACGGGAAGTATATTTAGCCTCGTTCGGGAGAAAATTTATTTCTGATCTGATTTAGTTGATTGGTTCGACGCGTCGTAATCAAGTTTGACGTCTGACACAAATAAGAGCTTGGTTCTTCTCATGAAAAGTTCGACGTTTGGCCTAGGCATAGGATTGTTGATTTATTTACTGAAAGTGGTTGTGAGTTACCTTTCCTTTTGAGTATCTTCGCTGGGCGTAAGCACGTAATGGTTGGGAAAAGTTCGAAAAACCTGCAGCTTGTTTTGTCTTCGTTCTAACAAACAAACAGATAAAAATCATTTAATCTTGGATTATTATTATGATAGGGATTGAATTAAAAACAAATGCTTAGCTTTTATTATTCGATATAAAACTGGTTATTTCCTTCACATTAAGAGAAAATAAGTGCAGCAAAGCCAAGTGGGATGATATAGGCAATCTCAATAACATACCTGAGGTGGCGTATAAGTTATTTCCAGGATGTAAAAATCATAGGGGTTTCGTCTCCACACACGCCCACGATTATCAGTTAGTTCACCCAGGATGAGCAAGTTAAACAGCAGTGTGTCAAGATCTGGTATAACCTGAAAATCGGGTAGTGCCGCATCAATCAAAAAAGATCTTCGACTGGTATAAGATTTATTGAGTTTCGAATAGCTTAAGAACATAGTCGCAGATTTTAAGCCGATTACAAAAGTAAACTGAATGATCAGATCAAATAATCGTTGAGTGTTTCAATTCCCATCTTCGTCCGATGATTTTTTATCAATTATAAATGCAAATACTTTGAATAAAAAGTGCAAGGCAGTCAGTCAGTTAATCGTATCAACATTAGTAATCAGCTGTTTACTTTCCACCAAGTTTGTCGTTAACTCGTAGCTCACTAAGTCATGATCAGTCCCTCAGTCAGCTCTTGCTGGCCGTGGTACTTGAATTTTCAGTTACTGAAATGCATACCTTGCAAGAACTATCGAGATGAAAAATCCTGGACAAAGGCACATCTGGATGGATGGCGTGGGGAAGAAAAAAATCAGTAATATCAGCGACACCTGCACGCTCGTCGTGTAAGGGAATCGTTACGCACACCGGTAGAGGATCTTGATTTTGCTCTTCCATCTCCTCACTGATAAGAAGATTGTTTGGAAGGTTTGACACCTGCTCCGCTAATCCTTGAACGACTAAGCTTTTACCCACTCCAGAATCAGTGGAGGTTACTAGGCGAACATTTAAGCTGCAAGAAGAAAACAAGAGATGTAATAATTTTTTAGAACACTAGAGAGGTCTGATCAAGCCTTCTTGTTTAAAAATCGATTTTAGGATTAAGTCCACACACAGTTAGTGTACAAAAAATGATAGTTCAAAACGTCTCATTCAGCCAAACACATCGCTTAGTCTAGAGTGTGTGACTGTCAAACAACTCAGCAGAAGTCGAAAAACCTACTTTCCGGAGCGAATGGTGTCGGAGGCTGGTGTCCAAATCACACGTTTGTCGTGATAACAACCCTGCCGTGCTTCAGGTGCAGTGAACTGGTCCCGAAGGTAACGTCTTAGCTCCGCTGGTTTTGGATATCTTGGTATTCCTGTGACTTTGTATTCCTCCAGGGCGGCTACCATTTGAGCACGTTCTTCATTTTCACTGCTGCACAGGACCACGAGACCAAAATCTGGTTACAGAAAAAAATTGTTATTGAGTAATAATGATGACCGCTTGCTGATTAAAAATTGCGTTTCTGAAAGTAATCATGCATTGACTATTCAACATATCAGTCCAAGACTGAAGTGACAGGTACTAGTTGAGACCGTCTAGTAAGAACAGCACTTGCACTGGAAAATGTAGAGAAAGCTAGACAAACTGGTTGACGATGGGTTTTGGGAGTGCGACAAGGCTGTTTTCGAGGGATCCACTGTAATTGGTTAGGCTGTAGTGGTCTCCCTGCCTAATAATTTTTATGTATTCATGTATAAAGATTGTATTCTAGTTAGGCGAAGTTAAATAAATAAATAAATAAATAAATAAATAAATAAATAAATAAATAAATAAATTCTGTGCTGTTTACTAAGACAAGTTTACTAAGGAGGCGCACCTAGGAAATGTCACCTTAAAGAATTCAGTCGTTTTTCCTGACAACGAACTGACATCTATACTCTTATCCAAGGTTAAAAAAAATGTTACTTGCAGTAACAATTGAGATGCAAAGTCTCAACATGCAGAAGAGAGAAATGTTGCTACAGAACTGTAAAAGTGAATTGTTCTATTAAGGGAGCTTTTCCCCGCCGATAGCAAACTTAATAGAGGAATTTATATTGGACTGCAAAAGGTGAATCATGGCAAAGCATTCGGGAAAACATGGCAGGAAAGAAGAAATTAAAGGAATTAACTGAATGGATGAAGCGGAATATGAGACGTTATTTACTGTTAGCCAAAGCCTATTATGGTTCGTTCGGGCATAGTTGCTTTGGAATCAACCTGCACTAATTAGAAACTGCAACATGCGTTTCTCTGGCTATAAAGCACGTTAGGCTAAAAAGAGTGGAATAACAATTCTAGACACCTCAGGGCATAAGTGGTAGTTGATGATAATGATAAAGATATCTTATGTAAAAAAGATAATCAACTTAAAAAAAAAAATTATTTAGAAATATTACATTCATTGTTATATTCTCCCATCAATGTGTGCAGACAATCGACTGCCTTCTGGCTGACGTCATAGTCCAGAAGATCACCCATAACAAGACAGTAAAATTTTCCTTCTGGGTCCGTTAATGCACGACGCCATAACAACTCCACCTACAAAATAAATGGACCAGATTGGACCGAAATTGTTTTAACTCGCTAAAAATGTTACGATATCATCTTTTACAAACCATAAATGCACGTATCCCATAGTATAAGCACTAGTTAATTTCACTCCGTCAGTTCCTGTAAATACTTTTCTCTCAATTGTAAGATAGTATTTAGTACAAAATGCCCTTCCTGTCAGCTTTAAGGGGAAAGTGATAAACTTCCATAAATTAAATCTTGGAAATTATGAAAAAAGGCATATGTTATCTGTCCTTATTGAATTAAAGTGCATCCATCATGAGGTAATAACATTACTTAATGTAATAAAGTAATATTAAATGAAGCAAATTTATTAAAACAGATTTAATCCTGGAAGATCTGTCTTTGGATTTTGGAAGCTTCACACGGAAAAAAGAAAGGTTAACAAAAATATAAGGATCAAATGTGATCATGAAGTAATATAGAGGGTTAGCGACCAAGCAATAACGTCGAAAAATGTTTCAGTTATTATTAATAAGTAGTCTTCACGTTTTTACCTCCTCCGCTGTTGTTGTGGATGTGCAAACGAGAACTTCGTTACCATCCGGAAGATTTTGTGCCCCACCTTCCATGTAAAGGCTGAGTACGGCAGGAAAAATGTTTTCTGAAAATAGATGACGTATTAATATTAATACCCGCAAATACTCGTGACGAATATTACACTTTTGTGAATATTATTAGCGGAGCTCTCGCCAGCGGAGCACCATGGGTAAGTAAATCTACCCATCCCAGAAAATTTGGTAATCACGTGACCGTACACCTACCGCCCGCCGACCGTCCGTCCGTCCGCACCACAGGCATATCAATGTAAAATAACTCAATCAACAGGTGTGGCAACCCAAATGCAACTCGACGTTATTTTGGCGGGAAATCGCATAGCCACCAGCGTCTCAACTTAAGAGTCAATAAAGACGAAAACGGAAAGCGGGAATTGTTTCTGTATCCGCGTTGTCTAAAGTAATCGTCAATTAATTTTCATGCCCGCAAATTTGGAATACAGAGCAAGAGAAGGACAGAGAATAAGAGAAAAGTAGGTGGCAGGTCAGCGAAGCTCAACGAGAAAAAGGGCGACAAAGATCTAAAGCCAGAGATGAAAAAAAACAAAGGAGACATTTTTTGGTTGGAAGAAACAACGTAAACAATTTTGTAGCGGCGGTGACATGAGAAATGCTAGCGGCCATGCACCAGTGCAAGGTGAAAATGAGCGGCAGTGAAAAAAAAAGTGGACGAGAACACGTACAACATTTCCTCCAAAAAACGTGTAACTAAGGGCCTGTTTACATGGAGTGGGGGACCCCGGTCTAATGGGGTAGGTTTCTTTTGTTTTTTGTCCGCCAGAGCGTGAAAACAAAAGAAACCTACCCCACTAGACCGGGGTCCCCCACTCCATGTAAACAGGGTCTAAGATGTTTCTGGAAGTTTCACGTTGTAGTCGTGCAAAACAACGGCAAAGAAATGTACAAAAAAAGTGTTCTGCACGTGCAAAGTTGCTTTTTTACTAATTAGACCTATTGTTGTCTTTTCACCGTTCTCGTTGCCTTCGTCGCTTAGCATTACACGATTTTATATTTTGTTTGAACAAACTTTAAATGTTATCGAGAGCTTCGCTTTTAGCCCTGGCTAAATCTGTATATTAGATAGATACATGTAGAACGATACGGATGGATGGATAGTTAGCTAGCTAGCTAGCTAGCTAGCTAGATAGATAGATAGACATTTATACAATAGGATGCGAATGCTACGCGCGCTGTGGTTGGTCGTTGCCCATGATCTATCAGAGTACAGATACATGGATGACGTCACGGGAAACTTGTTTTCTTTGTTTTGTTCGAAATGGAGCGCGGTTTTGAAAATGTTTGTGAGATCGAAGCAACTGAAAGTGTCGAAAAAAGTTTAACAGGAGCTATTTACAAAGACGAAAGATGGAGAAACTGATACGAAAAGAGCTATTTGACTACTTGAGAATGCCTAAACCACAAGAAATCAGGGGCACCCAACGACAATTTTCGGAAAAATTTCTGTTCGGAAGACGATTTGAGATCTAGAATTTTCGGAACATTTGTGGTAAATTTCTTGCTTGCATGCCTCTTCTAGGATTTTAGAACATATAAAAAATGGTATACTTGCCCATTTTAAACTAATTTTTACCCTAAAAAGTTCACCTAGAATTTTCGGGAGCCTATTTTCTGGCTAAAATTTTCGAAAGGTAGTTTTGATCCCTATAATTTTCGGATCACTGGACTTTCAGCTAGGAAATCCGAACAGATGAAAAATTTTTAGGGGATAAAAATATGCCTATATCTACCGTTTAAATACTAAAATACATTCAACAATGCTATGTTTAAGTGGTTTTGAACTATATTCTCGTTGGGTGCCCCTGAGAAATCTTCAACAGTTGCCACGGTGTGTCATCGCTACGAGAGAGTCGTTGTGCAAAATGTTTTCGGCATTATTCTGCTTTTAGCAAGAAAAGACGTCGAAAAACATTCCGAAGAAATTGTATACAAGTAAGATAAAGAAAAAAAGAAGAAGCAGAAACGAAAGGTAGCGTTTGGGACTTAAAGACCTTAAAAAATGCTAATTATAAACTAGCACAAATCCTTGAACAGTCAAGCAGTACAAGGAAGGTAAGCTTATGATTACTGGTCTTTGTTTTCTGATCATTGTTTAGAACAAATAGATTCCATGTTGCCTTGGGTCTGTTCAGTAATAGATCACAGAAGACGTCTAAATGTGGTAAAAACATCAGTGACACAGTCGCCTGCGGCTCGTGTGTCACATTTTTTTTTTTGCCACTTTTTGACGTCATCTGTGATCAATTACTGAACAGACAGACGGCAACATGGAATCTATTAAACAGATTTTTTACTTAATAAACACAGCAGTTTTCTCAGCTACAGGCGCTGGTTTACCTACAAGCCGTCCATTAAACACTGGACAAAAAAATAGATTTGCTTCAACCTTGTGCAACTGAGGAATAAATCTGAGCAAAGGTGGTAAATGCTTAATTTGCATACCTATTTACAACGGGGTGGGTATGCAAATTCGGCATTTACCACCTTTGCTCAGATTTATTCCGCAGTTTGCACAAATTTGCATCATATTTGAGCTGAACAAATTTTAAACAAATCCTTTTTTTCGCTCAGTGAAAATGTATAAACTATATCCATCAGAGATCTTAGTATTTAAATGTGAAAAAAAAATGTAAATCTGTGATAAAAAGAATCCTACACTAAACGTTATAGCCGAAAAGGGTCCACCAGTATCGTAGGTAAACCTCATGTGTAAAAACTTATGGCATAGGTATTCAGGTGCGACATTGTTGTATACCTTGAAAATCTATTTTGCCAGCAGCTTAATTTGGCCTACGGAAAGCCGGCTCCTTCCCGCATGTTGCTTTTGCAGTATGGGGCCGCAGCAAGAGTCATAACCTACTTGCGCGGTTTGAAGTTTTTGAAGCTTCAATGCTAGTTCTGAGCCCAAACCCTCCATTTTCATCTATTAATATCCTGAACAGGATAACTGTAATTATATAGTAAATTACTCCATGAAGAAAAACAGGAAGACCCTATCAAACTCGATTGATGGACTAATTTTAGTCCAACTTGAATTAGAAATTTGACTGGTTGCCGTATTTGACAATAGCCCACAGACACGTGATGTACCATCACTTGCATTTGTTTAGCGTTCATTATCACAGTGTCATTTGAATCCAAAAATGAGACCTAAAATAATTTGCGTGCTAAACTACATATTACCTTTGGGCGCCAGGATCAGATTGGGCCTTCCATTTTTCAAGAATCTGGGATACAGTCGTGTTGCTGTCCTTTGATCTAAGAATAAAAAATATATGAGCATTTTTTTTCTGATTTAAACAAGACGTGGTTTTTGAAGAACAATTCAGGTTTAATTGTGTAATAAAACAATAGATAATCGTACCCACTACCAGAGAGTTCTAAGCTCAAAGGTAAATGGGGCAGAGGAAATGACGAACAAAAAATCAAACCAATAAATTAACATAATAAGATGAAATATATCAAACTTGGTGAAAATCAAATAATGTAGTTATTTACAAACGCGGCCAAGAAGATTAACTCGCGGCTATCGAAAAAAAAATTCATTAGTGGTAGATTTGGGATTTCCGACGCGCTAACCTCTTGGCCATGTTTCCTTTTTGTATGGAAGTGAGCAGTGAATAATTACCATTGGAAGCCAAATGGGATAGGAACACAGCAACTTCCTCCAGGGCTAAGTAACTACCTCCTCTTTGTTCATCAAACGAGATCTCTTCTGATGTGCTCGATCCTGCCACTTCATAATCATTATCGCCTGATTCGCTGATGAAAAATAAAGGGTCGCAAAATACGCAGATGAATAACTTGCTACCATTCGAGACAAAAGTGAGTTACAAACAACAGATACATTGCCTGAAGTTACCGGAAGGAAGAACAAATAGAGGCGTAAGGAGCTTAAAATCCGAGAGCCTGACAGAATTGCAAAGAATACCTCCATATTTAGATAACGATGTTCGTGAGGCAAAGTAGGAAAACCATGACTCCTTAATTTTTACAAGTAAAGACGTAGGTCAGTAGTCACAACAAAACCAATACGTAATAAACTCTGTTTCAACCTAATGGGTAAAGCGTCCTTGTCTTGCCAAAATGTGAGTAACAAAACATTGAAAAATCTGCAAACGTTTCCACAACGTTGACCCTCATACTCCAAGACTTATACCCCACCACCCCAAAATGAAAACTTTTCCAGACTAATAGAAGAGTACACAGATTCTAAGATATTCCAAAAATATTGTAAATGTTTCTGAAAAGAAAGCTGTTGTAGTTTTAAAATTATGATAGGTGAGATCAAACGAACCAGCACTCGGGAGTTCAATGAGGCTATGGGGTAAATAAATAGTAATAATAATAAAAAACAATCAACACCTGACGTCTTCCTCGTCTGAATCTTCTGCGCTTTCTGACGACTCCAATCCTGTAACCTCTTTTACAATGACTCTAAATAAGGGATTCTTTTTCGCCTCATCGCATAGACGATCAATCAGAGCGTCATCGGCTTTGTTTTGAACACACCAAAACACGAGGTCCGCTTCACTGCTTTGCCAGTTTTCCTCAAGGGCAGCTAAGGTCAGACGTTCAGCCTCGGGATAATTTAACTTCTCCACACTTTTGAGAAGACGTTCGAATTTTTCTTCAACCTCAACTTGTTCATCCGCTGTTTGATGATAATCAACCACATGGCTGCCAGGCAATGACTGTTGGTCTAAAACTCTATCATCAGAGTACGAACTATCTTGCATCACACCAGCTTCAATTAAAACACCCTTTAAGGTGGACGGCGAAATACCGGGGGCAATTTTCTCGAGAAGTGCGAAGACTTGAAAGTTCAGAAAATCTATGTTAGCCCGGCGTTTAATGGCAGCGAGTTCCTTGCGCAAAAACAACAATTGCTGTGTTGTGAAATAGTTAAGCTCGCGATACCTCATTCTCTGTTCGTGAAGGCGCACTCTGTAAGCATAGTAGCGTCGTTCGAATTCCTGGGCTTGGGAGGTGATGTCATTTATGACGTCTTTTTCCACAATGCTTGTTTTACATTTATATTCCTTGTTCCAGTCGAGGTAAGACACATCTCCAATCTCACAGAGCTTAACATACGCTTGACCCAGTCGAACAACACCTTGCAAAATCTTAAAGATAAGTAGTTGACTTGTAATTCGCGGGATAGCGTAAAGCAATGTTAACATTTCATTGAGTTTCTAACTAAAATGTGGAGGTGTACTAAGAGATTAAGCTCCCTACTCATACTGAAGAATGCTAGATTGGCCATAGAGAGCGTTATTTAAGAAAGGGAATATTTAGCGTTTCCCAGACCAAACAGTCTAATTAGACTTCTAATTTGAGCATTCAATCCTCTAAGAAATTGAGTCGCCTGACCATTGGGAACAGTGAATTAGTCTGTTTTAGCGAAGAAAGGAAAAATCATACCTGGTTAAATTTGTCAACATCGTCCTGCCCAGTAGAACGTTTACCAGAAATGAGGGCTAATTTGCTTTGCAGTTCTTGCAGTTTCCCCAGACTGTATTCTCTGAAAGTTGCGTTACTATTGCTTTCTAAAGGAAGTACCAAATTGACAACAGAATCAACTGTTTTCTTATCAGAAGGCTGTAATGTGGTTGTGGTGTCCAACTGACCAACGCAATAAACGCCTCTTTCATTGATCTTCTGGGCCAACTCGAGAGAGGACATGGCATGAGCATCTTTTACTCCCTTAAGCCACTCAAGATGCTCAGTGATACCCTCCTAAAGAGTAAAAAAAAAAGCGCCACTTCGGACTGTTATGCAGTTCCTGATCATGCATAAGTCAACCGCATTATTCAATTGACTGGTTTCCTTAGTTTAAAATAGTGTTAAGTTCTTGAAATAAGTTGTTGCAAAACTTAATCAGTTTGACAACGGAAAAAAACAAATGGAGAACATGGTGAGTTGAAAATTACCGTCAAATATAACCTAACAAAAGTTCCTCTTTACCAGCTTTTTAGGCAGGGATTTGTTTTCTTCAATTTCTTTCCACACCGCGTCAAATATCCTTATCAATTGACAGAAGCCAACATCTTTCTTCAGGTCAAAAATGAATGGAGCGAATCCAAGTGCTGTAGTGTGCAAAAATGAGACACGGTCGGTTTCAATATCACTTTCTCCGGCAGACATCATTGCAAGGTCCACAAGTGTTTTGACTTCTTCCCGCCCCCCTAGATTCCAAAAAAAAAAAAAAAAAAAGATAAAGAATATAAAAGACAATTATTGCTTACCATTTGAAATGCTGACTACTATTTTAAAGGACTTCAATTTTCCAGACCAACGGTTTTAAAGTGTTCCTCGGTTGCATAGTTCAACCTTGAATTTTATCGGTCCGCTTTCAAAAAGAAATAGTAATGATAAAAAAAAAAAAAAAAACTTGTCTTATGAGTAGTTTTTGTTTTTAGACAACGTTGGGATTGAATAATCTTCGATCATGCCTTAGTTCGGTATATCATGAACCAATTGTTTGTCCTCGCGATTTCGTCTCCAGAGCCTTCGATACCGTCGTCCAGCGAGTCGCAGCCTCTGGGATAGAAAGTAATTAGGCAAGCAAGGTTATACTTTGGTAGCCTCCCACGCAGACGTTCTTAGGGGTTTGTCACACGTTCCTGCCCCACGAACGTCTGCTGAACTGAAAGATAAATTCCTTTCCCATTGTTCGCAAACATCGGCTGGAGATCACATGCAGATTATCGGAGATCCAATCGGCGCTGTTGAAGTCAAAGTGTTGACAAGCCAAACACATACGCACAAGCTCTGTAGAGTGTAATACGTGATCAAAGATTTTTGCTCCTGACGAGAATATAGGGTATATGCGTTGGCTTTTTGTATATTTCTCTCTGTAAAGGCTGGATTATAGATGTCATTTGCTCATAAAGTTGTTGTTTAGGTGATGCAACGGCAAGGTTACCTTGTGCGACTGAACAAAAGGCAGAATTTTTTTCACACTTCATTGTTTTGTAGGGAAGCCGACTTCCCTTCAGCAAATTAAACCTCCAAGGTAATTTTTTTCAATGAGATTCTGAGGATAGCCACTAATACGAACGCTTGTGAGTTAACTGAGTAGTTTGTTCTAAAACTGTAAGGTCTTCACCTTTCATGCAACCTTTCTGATCTTTTCTGGAGCTATAAAGTCAAGCGCGAAATTTCTCAAGGTCCAAAGTGCACTTCCCAGATCTGGAAGTCTGCTGTGATTGGTCTAGGTTTTTTCCGCTCACGTCAGCAAACGTTCGTGGGGCAGGAACGCGTGACGAACCCCTAAGAACGTCTGCGTGAGAGGCTAATACTTTGGTGAATAATTGTTTATTATCAGAGCATAAGTGGTTAACTAGAAGCGCGCCTTTTTTAAGTCAATACCAGTTTTATGCAATGAAGAACACGTACCAACTCCGCAGTATGGCCAGTACCTTACGCTTGCGCACAAACATTATTCCAGTCTTTTTGTCGTCGGACCAGTAACTAATTGCAAAAGAAGCTTTCTCATCATTGAACAGTTAGAAATATCCTATGCATGAACATACTAAAAGTCCCTTAAGATCCAAGCATGGGAACACCTCCAAACGGGAGTTACAACATAAGTCCCTTCTTCCCACAGCATAAAAACGAGGCTGTCAACCGGAAGTTGCCGTATAGCGTTTTTTATTGGTATAAATTGAGCCATTTTGCCAAAACTAAGAACATATTCTTAACAACAATTATTTTAAGGCTTTAATCGTGAAAGAAGTTCCCAAAAATAATTCTTTTAAAAAAGGAAAATATTAAGGTTTTTTAAAGACTATTTACTCCACAGCAGCGAGATCTGATTTTGCCGAAACACTACGAGACAAAAATGCTTAAGACTCGCGACAAAAAAAAAGGCCTATATCATCAACAGAGAACCCTCTTTAATTCAATTCTACAGGTGCTATGTACAATGTATTTTTAAATACGCTAGTCTTCCGAATCTTCAGTTTCGTAGTCTACAGTGTTTGAAGAATTTGTGCACGAAGACTCGTTGCAGGCCGAGGAACACTGTATACCATTCTTGCGACAAATGCACCTCATTCTGCGACAGTCAGACGAACAGTTACATCTGATTAACTAAAGAAAGCGATTCTGGGGCAGGTGGCAAGTCCGTTGCAACAGGAAATACTTGATAATTAGTGACTTTCCACCCTCAGTCCTCCATTGACATGCCAGCACCTTCTCCCTGCCACTGCTTTACCTGTAGTTAGACGCGCAGGTAAAGCAATAGGGGGAAGATTCTGCGGCTCGATATGAGACGTCTTGGTTGCAAGTTTTTCAAAGTAACGCTGATATCTGAGAGCGTTTAGACCTACCCCTCGTTTCACCACCGAGAACTGGCGATACGAGTGCTTTTTCACCTTCACTGACAAATTCGGAAACCCCGGCTGTAAAACGACAGCTAAAGACTGCCAAACTTTTAGTCAAATTGAGCTCGTTGGGGGGTGTCTAGTTCAGCACTAGAATGATTTAGGAGCTACATACATGATCGCCAGCAGTATAAACGAATTGTCTCTGAAATGTCTGCAATATGTGTAAATCTACACACGGAGTTCAGCAAGGATTTATCCTGTTGACGGCATTTTTTAATGTTTACATCAACGATTTGCAGGGGGTTCCACATTACTGCTCCTTAGAATCCTAGGTGGATGATTCCAAATTAAATATGTTATTCTTAGTTAAAGATATCGACGGTGAAGCAACAAATAACCGAAGACCTGAGGAAAGTTGCCGCATGGTGCTGCCAAAACAGCCTTCTGATTAACCTGGATAAGACAAAAATGCTTTTAATTGGCACCCGTCAAATGCTTCAAAATACGCCTGCACATCTGGATTTACATGTTACTTCACTGAGGAAACAGCTACGTCCGGTTGTTTCAGCGAAGGACCTTGGAGTGCATATGGACGCTACATTGAGTTTTGATGAACGTGTAACAAGTGTTACATCTTCTTGCTTGTCAAGTTTAAGTCAAATTAATAGGGTAAAACATCTTTTGGACAGAAACACCTTGTTAAACGTTATCAATGCACTGGTCTTTAGCAAACTCTATTATTGTTCATCTGTTTGGTCTAGTACGACAAAGAAGAATATCAACAAATTACAGAATGTCCAAAACTTCGCAGCTACGATTATAACCCGTTTGCAGAAATCTGATCACATTACCCCTTTTCTTACAGAACTGAAATGGTTGAATTAATTGTCTGTCGAATCCATGCTTATCGGGATTGCATACTTAGCCCCTGACTATCTTGCTAAGAAGTTCAAAAAGAGGTTTGAAATCCACAATAAAGACACACGGGACAAGAATAAGAACGGGTACAGAACGGTCAGAGCCCAAAGAACTTTCCATTATCGAGCAGTTTCGATTTCACTGTGGAATTCCTTACCCGAAAGGCTCACTGAGCTAACAAAACTTGCATCACTCAAAAAGGTAAATGATGCGTCATTTACAAGGAGAACTTCAGAAGCTTTGTTGTAAATATATTGTAAATATCTTGTTAAATCTTGCTATATACATATGATTTTAATCATTTCTTATTGTTTTATAGTTTTACATATTTTATTGAATATTGTAATTACTTTGAAAAGCCAGAATTTGGAAAGTAATAAAGTTATTGCTCCGCAGGGATTTCGCCCAGAAGGCGAAATCCCGAGGAGGCACTCTAGTAACTAGCGCGTATATTAAGGAAAGTACTTACAGTTGAAATATACAGTCAGTATGCCCGAAAAAAATCTCGATTTGCTTGAACAGGGGGCGCGAGGAATCGATAGGTAATAATGACGTTTCTATTGTTCGCGCCCGCAGGTACGAGATGGTTAGGATGACGTAAAGACAGATACTCTTTTGCGATATGTGTTACCAGTGACATACTGTGGAGCCGTTGTTTTGAAAGTTATGGACCAAAAGACACTTGTTAAGCGCAGATGAAGCTATAAGGTGCGTATAACTCTGTATATATATCTGTCTGGATTTGATAANTTCTTATTGTTTTATAGTTTTACATATTTTATTGAATATTGTAATTACTTTGAAAAGCCAGAATTTGGAAAGTAATAAAGTTATTGCCCCGCAGGGATTTCGCCCAGAAGGCGAAATCCCGAGGAGGCACTCTAGTAACTAGCGCGTATATTAAGGAAAGTACTTACAGTTGAAATATACAGTCAGTATGCCCGAAAAAAATCTCGATTTGCTTGAACAGGGGGCGCGAGGAATCGATAGGTAATAATGACGTTTCTATTGTTCGCGCCCGCAGGTACGAGATGGTTAGGATGACGTAAAGACAGATACTCTTTTGCGATATGTGTTACCAGTGACATACTGTGGAGCCGTTGTTTTGAAAGTTATGGACCAAAAGACACTTGTTAAGCGCAGATGAAGCTATAAGGTGCGTATAACTCTGTATATATATCTGTCTGGATTTGATAAAAGGTACCTCCAGAAATTTCAAGTGCGTTTTAACAATTTGATCCTTGAGGTCAATAAAAAGCAGTTGAAAGTCGCTAGTTAGGGCTTAAAACGGACGAATTAATCGCTGGCAACACACAAAAAGTTGCTCTTGGCAAAAGCGACAGATTTTTAACGAAGAGATGGAGACGGAGACGGAGATGCCCGACTAAAACAGACCTAGAAACCACCTTTCTTGACCTCACAATCGGTTTTCTAAGACAAAATCACTTCAACGAAACACTTAGAAAGCGTTTTCATGCTTGTACACAATATTCTTATAACACGAGCACCACGACATACCTGAAATCTGTCTGTCAACAACTTCAGGAAATCACACAATTAACCACGTTCGCGGCAATGACAAAACTATCCACAACCAACCAAACACAATGTTTCCACACTTAATTTGGGCGAAATATCATGACATTACTCTCTCTCAATAACTCTCGCTTTCTCCACATAAATCATCACATGTAAAATTTGCTGAAACAGTCGATTTATTCAAGATCCCGGATGTAAACGAGCCGTTTTGAAAGGGACACATGGACGCCGGCCTTCAAAACAAATTTTTACTATGTCTCTGGCCTGGTCAGAAATCAGCATCAATTTTGCTCTTGCAGAATAGTTTTGACTCCTAAAAGCTACTTTTTGAGGCCAGAGACTCGTCACCGCCCACATCACAGCTTGCAATATGATGCCTTTCCGTCTCAAGCCCGAGATCAGTGTTTCACCCGTTTAGCCAAAACGAGACGAAATACGGTAACATATTGGACTACGGCAGACTCTGTCAATCGTGAGACTTATTCCTTCATAAGGCTTAATGATGCCTTCTGGAAAACTTCGCTGCAGGCGGCCAAAAAAATTAACCGACCACGGAAAACAACTTTTACCGCGCGCGCTGATTTCAAATGTCATAGTGTAGAGAATTATGGGAAATGATAAGTAGGGGAAAACTGCGGGAGGGAAGGGGGGAGGGGGGTGGGGAAGATGTAAACAGCATAGTAAACACATGTTTTTTGATCTACTGCAGCTTTTAAGGGGATTTTTGCACTGAAAAGATCATTAAAAAAAGGTCACCTTTTATCAAATCCAGACAGATATATAAACACTTGGAGACTTTGCCAGACACGAGTTCACAAATCTTTGATTGGAAACCTTGCCAGACGCTCTTTCTCTCTCTTTGACCGGAATAAGACTCAGCCCCAAACAAGCAAGACGAGTGGATGAACGACTAGCTTCTCACTACCAGAACCATGGACGATTATAGAAATTCGCCGACAATCAAATTCTGTGCGGCCTTATTTCCTGCCCACAGATGTCCTTCCGCTATGAAATTTAAAATAAGACTAGAATGCGCGAGCGTGAATTGATCAAACGTCCTTTCAATTTCTAAGGCTTACTTTCCGGCACATCAAATGAACTGTACGTAGAAAGTGAAAGAGAAATAGTGAAAAATTCAACTTCTAATTAAATCTATTTCTTATGGTTTAGAAGAAACTATATATCCTCGAAACTGAGAATGGTTTGATCAAAGCTGTGTAAATCGAACTGAAGCTGGGCATGGAACCTTGCGTTTTCTATTTTTATCTCACCTGTTGTACGGAATTTGTGTGAAAATCTTTCCATACAATACTTTATTCAAGAGATACAAAACTAAAGTTACAAAATATCTCTCAAAACGGGATATCTAGAGGTCAACCCTATATAAAAGATTCCCCAAAATAAAAGATGAAAAGGTAAAATCTAGAATCTAAAACATTATATACAGAGACAAAAACCTAAAACCTAAAAACTAGAATAAAAACATCGTTTGCATACTTTAATTAAGCTATTTGCAATCGTATTAATCAATATTCATATAAATCCTTAATCTGTTGCAAAATAAAGTCAGCGATCCTGCGTGTACAACATCTTTAGGCAAGTTATTGCACGCATTAACGATCCATACAAAGAAAAAATATTTGTAGCAATTTATGATGGCAACTTTTACATAGAGCTTATAATCGTGATCGGCTCAAGTTCGATTACACTTACTAAGTTAAAAAAAGTCTGAAAAAGGAAGGCTATCTATTCCAAAAACTATCTGGTAGCACTGAACTGGAGATAAGAACTCTCTATATTTCTCCAGAGTTTGCCAATTAAGCGGCAGCGGTCGTCATAGCTCATTTCTCCGCGCTTTTGCTTTAAGCCTAACCGTGATGCTCTTCTTTCGACTTTTTCCAAGGATTCAATATCCTTTTTTTGGTAGGGGCTCCAGACGGGGGCAGCGTATTCGAGTATAGGTCTTAACAACGACTTGAAAACGCATGCCGATTGTCGTTTAAGAGTGATCGCTTAATCACACCTAATACTTTGTTCGCCTTGTTTACTATGTAGGAGACGTGTTTACCCCAAGATAGATCGTAGTTTATTGTGACCCCAACGTCCTTGACACTTTCAACAGATTTTAGTTGCACACCTAGAGAGTAACTTGGCTTAGATCTGTCCCTACTGTGCTTTGCACGCATGACTTCGCATTTTTCGAGATTAAAGCGCAACTGCCACTTGTTAGCCCAATCGCTTATAATCTATTTAGATCAAGCTGTAAGGCTGAGATATCCTTATCAGGCTCATTGATCGTGTGATAGATTTTGGTGACACCAGCCTAGATTTTGACAGTTGATGTTTTGTTTGTCGAAATATCATTTACATAAATGATAAATAAGATTGGAGCGAGTATTGTTCCTTGAGGCACGCCTGAAATCACGATGACCAATCTGAACGATTCCCCCTGGCCCTTAAGGTGGCCCGAACCTATTTATATGCGCGTTGGTTATGTTTTTGAATCGCGTTTTTCGGCAGGAATGATTTAACCGATTTCCACGATTTTTGGTATCCGTAATAAAGAATGGTCGAACTTTAAGAAAATGTTATTTATTTTCTTGTAGGTATAAAAAACGTTTGAGATATCGGCATATGTTTAAAACCGCATTTTTACAAAAAATGGCAATAATTTCAAAACCCTAAGACAGATTTTTCTCTATCTTCGGCAAATAAGCCTCAGAGCTCTCTAGTTTTATATCTGCAAGTTCGAAGTCAATCGTGACCGTAGAACTCGCTGCAGAAATAGCTGGTCAAATTTAACCTTAAAATGCAACGCTAATACATTTGTGAAAGTTGACGCACGAATAGAGGAAAACTGCCGGTGGACTACCTGCTATCTGCAAGGGTATTCTTGCCCAAAGCTTCAGTTGCAGTTACAGTTCGCAATACAAGGAGAACAACTTTATGCTGAATGCGATTTGTTGTAACATGTAAGTAACGTAGATTTGCCCCTTAGATACGCATTGTTCTGGGTTAAAAAGATTGAGATCTAACCAAAAGTCAACCACACGGGTCCTTACCACATCTTCTGCAACCTTGCATACAGTACAAGTCGGTGATATTTGGCGGTCGTTCTCCATAAGATTTTTGTTCCCTTTCTTGTGAACTGGAGTGATGTGGACCGACTTCCATATACATGGTAGCTGACCTTGAGAGATTGATGTATCCAGAAATAAAGCCAGTGGAGATGACAACACTTGAGCACATTATCTTAGGATGCGAGGTGATATGCAGTCTTCCTCAGGGGATTTATAGGTATTCAAATTTCTTAGCAATTTTCTCAACTTCAGTGACAGAACAAAAGACATTACATAATTTCTTGTCGGTAATATAATCGAGGTCGGGAAAGGTTTCGTGATCCTCAGCAGTAAAGACCGATGAGAAATAAGAATTCATACAGTTGGCATTACTCAGGTCATCGTTAAGATACATCGTTAAGGACACTAGGTCGCACTTTACTTTTATCTTTGATTGAACAAAGTTCCAAGAAGGCTTTGGACTGTTACTGGTTTTTAATTCATCTGCCAGATTGTTTACAAACTGCCTAAGCGCAGAGTTGCATTCCTTCTTGACACATCTGTTAAATTTACGATATTTGTCCCAGTCAGTCCTAGTCAGAACACAGGTTTTTTTGCCCTGTTGTAAAGCGCGTTTTTTCTTCTACACAACTTAATTAGATCCCCACTTATCCATGGTGCGTTTGAATTTCTCTTCGCTGTCCGCTTTGGGATACACTCGTCGATCACAGATAAAAACAAATCAGACCATGCAGCCCATATACGATCTATGTGAGTATCCAAAAAAAGCGCAATACCATGGAGTGTAATGAAAAGATTCCTGAGATGATCCCAGGAGGCCTTCTTGAAGGAATAGCTCAACCGTCTGCGATTTCCGTCCAGGGAACGATTTCCTCGATAATAGCATAGAGATCGAGTTCTGGTCAGAAAAGGGCAGACCAACTTTTAGATCATAAACTAGGTCGAGAGACGTAACGAACATGCATCAAGTCTAAAATATTCCCATTAATAATAATGACTGAATATTAAGACTCATTGCAGCAATATACAGAATGGCTGAATTACAGAGCTGTTTACAAAACATATAATACTAAAATATAATACAATAAATCAAATAAATACTAGAAAATATAATTGTACAAGCCACTAGGTATACTTATCCGTGACAAACTCTTGCGTGCGCTTGGTCCTACAGGTACGACGCGTGGAGCGGCTAATACCAGATCTAAGATTATAATTATACACAACCTCCTCCTGTCTGGGGAGCATAAAATGCAAGGGGTGATTCTCATTCCGGAGTCTATCAATATAAACCTGGCAGAGATGGGCGCGTCTGTCACTTAGAGCTGTTAAATTAAGGGCATTTAATGCCTCGTTGTAATTCATTGCGAGTTGGATCCTTGACTACCTGAAGGAGAAAATTGTCGTGTATAACAACTGATAACAAAGTAGTGTTAGGTGAATCCACAGAGGCACAGTTCGTGTTCCAGTCGAATTCGGGAATATTAAAGTCGCCATCAAGTACCATTTCTGAGTTTACTGATGAAAGCACATTATCAAGAGCCGCTTGTAGATCTAACAGGTAATTCATGTTACCGTTGGGCGGCCTATAAAAGACACCTAAACTGATTTTTCTATTCGCCGAGAATAGAGTATCGACAAATAATAATTCCGCCGAATCGAAACTAACGTCTTCTCTCACTGACACTCTCAACGTGTTTCGTACAGCTATCAAAATACCCCCTTACCAAAATTACATATATGTTACATATAGTTGTTACATGTATATGCCACGTATGTGTCACATATATGCCACATGTATTTAGCATATATGTGGCATGTATGTCACATATATGTTGACATATATGCAACATACATGTGACATTTTTGTTACATATATGTAGAAGGTGTGCAAAATACATGTGAAACATATAATTTATATGTGATAATACTTCCTTGTGAAATCTTACCAACAGGTGGATCAACCAAAATATATGCATAGAATATGTAAAAATAAATGTAGTTTTATTTAAATAGTAATTTGTTATGTGGATAATTATAGACTATATATTGCATTCAGGCAACCAAATTAATATATATCCTAATTCTCTGATTCAGTAATGTATTAGACTACGAGTGGTCCCCATTTTTCC